AGGTCGACAGCCAATGCCCTGACCGCCCTCCTGCGCCCACACGGCTCTCTGTTTCTCACCCTCAGTCCAGCATCCAGTCACTCGCAGCAGACGTTTGGCGCTTTATTATACAATTAGCTTTGTAGCCAGGGGTTTTGCCCGGTGTCGGCTCATGAAGTGTTCTGAGCACGCGAATCGCAGGCCGGGCTAAGCTCGGTGTTCAGGAGGCTGCTGTGTTCAGTGCATTTTCCAGTTCACATTACTAGCTTATGGCGGTTCGTCTGGACACAGCCCTGGTGTCAGTCAAGGGAGGTTTGTGCTGGTTAGTTTGACACAAACGGCCTACAGTGCCCTGTGTCTTGTAAGGACTCCATCAAGAGACCCAGTACTGCTGTCCTACCCTTATCGGCGCTGGCTGTCTCTAGGGCCAATGCAGTGTCTGAATGGAGAGCCAGCTAGGAACATCTATCTCCCTTGGGTTTCTTGCCTCCCTCAGCCTTTATCAACAGGTGGCCAGGCCGGGGCTTCCAAAACATGGGTCAGATTATGTCACTCTGGTGCCCACACCTCTGTCTCATTCAGGAGGACGTGCAAAGTCCCAGGTTCGAGACCCCATCTGACCTCCCTGCCTCCCCCGTCACCCCCTACTCTACTGGCATCCACAGCTCCCGCTCTCCAGCCGGCCCCCCACGACCCCGAGAATGTGGGCTCTGGGAGGACAGGGGGCTAGCCTGCTTTGTTCCCTGCAGCCCAGCAGGGTCAGCTGCTATCCTAGGGCAGAAATAGTATAGCTGGGGTTTTGTAAGCAGCTCTTAAATGACTGCTGTTTGTCCCCCCTTCCAGAACATTTTGAAAACAACCAGCAGAACAGCGCAAAGTGCTGTCAGCGGGAGGATGCGGGCCGCTTGGGATTGGGGAGACTATGCCGACAGGTATGTCCACGAGCCCCGACGGAGCCCTGCTCCTCTGCACTGCACAGGGGCGTGCAAGGACCTGCCCGGGCTGGCGTCAGGTCGGGTGTGCTGTCTGGGGTGAGGATGAGGGGTTGCAGAGAGCTCAGAACACCTATCGCCATGGAAGGAAGAGTGGGGGACTGGTCTTCTCGCGGGTGTGGTACGGTAGCATCAGACGGACCCTGAGCACGGGACGCTACGTGGAATAAATAAGCCAGTCCCAGAGGATGGATATTGCAAGATTCCACGTGCACGAGGCCCCTCGAGCAGCCGGGTTCCTGGAGAAGGATGGGTGGTGGGTGCCAGGGGCTGGGGGCGGGGAGCGAGGATCTGGTGTTCAGTGGGCGCGGGGTTTAGGGTGAAAAACCCTCGAGGTCTGTTTCATAACAGCACAGAGGTACCGAGCTTGGATCAAGTGAACGTTTCAGGATGAGAAAGACGGTCGGCTCCACGTTTTTATTGTGGTGGTTCTGCCACCATAAGAACGTAGCGCCGGGCCATCAGAAGTTGGAAGTCGGCGTGCTTCTAAAAACACGGGGCCTGCTTTGGGATTCTGCCTCACGCTGGTCCTGAAATCTATGGTTTTACTCACCCTAATGAAAATTAAACATTGATGCATACAGAGAACAAACTTGATCTTTCTGAAGGCAAACACAGGGTGTCTGGATGCAGACGTTTCTTTGTCCTTCCTGGTGACTAGCGCATTTCCACCACGTTCGCTGAGGCGAGCTGCCCGTGTGGCCCACCTGCCAGGCCACCGGAACCGCTGTGCCCCCAGCCCCCCCCCCGTGCACCTCAACACACCTGCCCTCCATTTATTTGCATGATTCCTCCTTCTTCTTCCCCATAAAACTCCCCATTTTTGAAGCCCCCACCTTACAAGGCAGAATTTGGGTTACAGAGACTAGTAAGATCCCATCTTCCCCTGGGGGACCCTAAATCCAGTGCAGGAAGGAAACGTAATCCAAACAGCAGATAGGGCGACATGGGACCCTCCAGACTCCACGGGGATGCGTGGGGGCATCGGCTGTGTCTGTGGAGTCAGGAAGACCCGGGGCTGGGGACTGGGCTCGGGGACTGACGTGGAGGACCGTTAGCTGGAGCCAAGGAAGGCGTCATCCCCGCTAATGGCAAATGGCAGGCACGGGAAGGAATGTGGCCCGTTTGGAGAAAGCGGGTTAATTGTAGGGACAGATAGTAGCCACCCCTGCTGGCAGCGCTGCTGGGACGAGCCACTCTCTTCTGGTGGGGGCTTACCCTGATGACATAGGCGCCTTTCTGTGTCCTCTGGGCCTCTTCCTTCTGGGGTCCAGATGAAGGAGAGCTGGGTGCAGGTTAACAGAAGCAGCCCTGATGCTCTTGAAGGCCCTCTCAGGAGTGGCCTGTGTCCCCAGGGTGCGAGTAGAAGCCCCCAGCAGGGTGGGGGTCCGGAGGCCTTGCTCTAGGAAAGCTCTGGAAACAGGTGTGAGCAGAGCAGGACTCTGGGGTGGTGCTCCCTGTCTGTCCTCGGGAGGCTGTGTGAGCTCAGAGGGCACCTGCGGGGTTTGAAGGAACATCGCTGCATTAACAGCTAAAGGAACCTAAGGGAACGGGTAGGGAGCAAGCAGCCAGGACGAGCGCACTAGGACTGTGTTGTGGGAGGACGGCTGGCATGGCCGGTGGGAGCGCTCCTGCGTGGAGAGAACAGGTGACCCCATGCAGACAGGGAGGGCCTGGGGCAGACCCTAGGGAGGTGTGGCTCCAGCAGCTGGCAGGGCAGCAAGGGGGCTCACGGGACCTGTGGCATTTGTGCTGCGATCTGAAGTCTGTGCCTTTGCCGCATGACCATGGCTGGAAGCCGGGTGTCCTGAGCCCAGATGCTTCCTGCCCAGCATGTTAGGACAGCCAGGGCCAGAGAGGCTCATCTTCACCGGCCCGAGGACAAGGATCCAGCCCTGTAGCAGAGCAGGGGGACGGCGTCCCTGTCTGAGTGCCCTGGGCCTGCGTGGCCTCAGCACATCCCTCCTGTAGGGCCCCTGGTTTGAGGTAAACAGGGTCCTGTAGCATGGGACACGAAATGGACCCTCTAAGAGGTCTTCATCCTTGCTGGCTGAGGTCATGCCCCTCGCACCTCCTTCCTAGAACCGTGGAGGGCACCAGACTCGGTGAGCAGCCGCCCTGCCCGGGAGCCACCAGGCATTCAGCTGCAGCCCCGAGTCACAGGTGAATCCTGCGGAGGCCTGGCTCTGCCTCGGGGGTCAGCTCCCTGTGACCTGAGCCCAGGCTGCCTCCCCTAGACCGCGGAGCATGTTAGGACAGTGACCCGCCCTTCGGGGGAGCCATCTGAAGCAGGGTCCCAGCTAGGGACAGACGTTGGTGAATGGCTTTAAATACACTTCTGCTCCATGACAGTCATCTCTGAACGCTGGCACAGCCCCGGCGGGGTCGGCTCTACCTGCAGGCACCCCACTGTCACCCGGACCGCTGATGAGCAGGTGCGGGCCACGTGAGTGAGTGAAGCACCTGCCGGCCTTCCTGCCTTTTTCCTTTGTATCCAGACACTCCCAGGGACCTTCTGTGACAATCGCGAGCTTCCAGGGCAGCAGTGGCCCGGGCCCCTGTTGCCGATGGATGTCTGCAGCTGGGAACACGAGTGGTGACTTCTGTGGGCATCTCCAGGTACGTGTCTGCCCGCTGCGGCAGAACATTTCCGGGAAGCTGCTGGTGGGTCGGGTGGCCCTGGGACTTGGGGGCGAGCCGTGTTTCCGGCTCCTAGTCCTTTGGAAGCGGTTCAGCCAGTCTGAAAGCGTAACCTGAGCTGGATCCTCACTAAAGGAAAGTGTGCACCGCAGTTTCCATGTCTGCAAGAGCGTCACCGCTCAGCCATCCCCTTTGATCATAGCTGCCCCTGTAGAGGAGCTCATTCGTGGTTGCTAGCAGGGAGCAGCATGAACTTGGGGTAACAGTGGCTCCCCGGGCTCCTGGTGGTTGCCAGCGACGCGCTCTTGGCCACTGCGTTGGCAGGTGCAAACCCTCTCCGGAACCCGTCTGCAATGCACGGGCCACCCTGCACTAACCCCCGGATGAGGGAGCCCGCAGCCACACAGGGACCCTTATTCTCCAGCTTCCTGACGGTGCAGAAGGCAGCGAGGCCGCCAGCCTAGGCCCCGGCACGCCCCCTCGCTCACTCACCTCTTGAATTGCAGTGCACCTGTCCCACAGAGGGCTCCTGCTGCCTGAGCGCACAGACCCCCTCCTGCCCCTCGGGACAGCAGCGCTCTGCAGAGGACATGGCCCCAGAGCGGCTCCCAGGGACCGACGTCACGGCGGCCACTGTTGCGATGGGGGCCCCTGTCGGGGTGGCTGCGTGCCCACATACCAGCACTCCGATCGCACCTTCTCCCACCTTACCCGGAAGGTAGGGTGCGGGTGGCGGGGGGGCCAGCGTCCTCCATAGACCCCGATTCTGGAGCCACGCCCAGGGAGCTGGCGACCTCACTGTCCCCCTGGTCACCCAGTGGTGGTTGCAGCCCCAGCGCCCTGGGCCACAGAGCCGTCCACTGTTTTCCCACGAGAGCCCACGTTACTGGGTGGGCTCTGTAATTAGGACCGGGCCTCGCCCATCCGGACTGGAGCTGTGAATGATTGCTCATTCCCAGTGCACACGCAGTGCACTCACAGCACGACGGGCCGCGGGCGGAAAGGCTGGCGCCCAGCCCGTGTTGGGCGTTTTCACAGAAACATCAGAGGTCGTGACTTTCGGGGAGCATGGCCTGTACGGCCTTTACTTCAGCACCAAGGGAGAGGATTTGCATCGCGGCTGGGATTAACGCCGCCAGAGCGGGGCTCTCAGATTGTAGCTGCCCTCAGTGTCCCCGTGATCCCTCCCATCCTGGCTTCTGACTCCATGTACCTGGCATGTCTCACCAGTGCCGGGTGATGCTGGTGCCACTGGTCCTGGGACCCCACTTTGGGAACTGCGAAAGTCAGCCCTGCCATCAGATTCCGCTCGGTCTCCGTCCCTTCTGCTCAGACCACTGTGTTCTCTGAAGCTGTCCCTCTCTCTCCCCACAGCTCCCTCAGCCACAATGGCTCAGCATGCTGGCCTCATCCCAAGCAGCTCTGTCCCCCTGCTCAGTGTCACCCTGGAGCCGTATCCATGCAAGTTCCTGCTGACGTGGTGGACCCCGCTGTCTGTGGCTTCCCAGACACGGACGCTCAGGCGCCGCCCAGTCTGGGGTTCGGGGTCCAGGTGGCTTCCCAAGCAGCTCTGCATCTGGCAGTGGATTTTGGAGATGGCTCTGGGGTCCAAGTGACGGTCTGCAATGTGTCCGGGGGAATGGCGGTCACTGCCTACCACCAATTTGGAAAAGGTAGGGTACTCGGTGTCAGGATCTGAATCCAGGCAGGGAGTGCAGGTACGGCGAGACCCCAGAGGTAGCTCTGGCCACACCAGGGACGAAAGGAGACCCCACTCCCCCCCGCACTCCACCCGTGCCTGCCATGTTCTGATAACAAAGGCTCAGGTGCCTGCACTGTGCCTCCCCCATATATGTTTCCTCATCGAGTCCCACCATCGCCCTGTCCTCCATTTGGAGGAGCCCAGGGACGCCAGAAGGGCAGGCGTTTGTCCTGTGGTCACACACCTAGTGAGCCACATGACCCCCTCCACAGGGAAAGCTCTGAGCTTTGGTGAGGACTGCGGATACGGCCTTCAGGTACACATACACTCACACACATGCGCACACACACGCACACACTCATACACACACACACAAGATTGCACACTTAATCTTTTGCACTAAGATGTCACATACTTTGCATTTAGGCAAAGTCACACAAGCTGTCTTTCTCCAGACATCTTGGCACTGGAACCAGTCTGTGTGGACAAGGACTGATTCCTCAGAGCTGGTGTTGGGGGGTGGGGGCGGGGGGGCAGAATTCCGTCCGACCTTGTCCTGCTCACCTGCAGCATGTCACCGTTTGCTTTCTGTTTATTTTTTATTATTATTATTTGAGTATGGTACATTCTCGAAGTTCCAACCCCTACCTTATAGGGAGCTGGGGGCCATGGGTTCACCCCTCGGGCACAGTGCTCGTCTCTGAGATGTCCGCGCAGTTGAATATTTAGTGCATTGGACTGTGCGTTCTGGCCACGAGTCTGAGGATGCTGGCTCTGCTTTCTTTTTATCTGAATGGCCACCCCCAGGTGCTGCTGGCTCTGCCCCTGGGGATCCGGAGAGCACCAGCTTCTGCCCGCCACCCCCAGCCCGCCCTCCTCACCCCTGCTTGTGGGTTGGGTTCTGCTGTCCATGCAGCTGAGCTCCCCTCTGTTACTCGTCTTTTCTAAAATTACTCTGGTTATCTTCACTTGTCCGTTTTCCCACGTGGACTTTAGACTCCCAGTGGCTCGCATGAAAACATCTTATTGGCCTTTTTGTCTGCATAGTGTTAAATTCATGAATTGATTTCCACAGACTGTTTATGTTCAAGAAGCTCCCTCCTCGTGAAAATAGCTTTCTCTGCCCAAGTCTTCCTTGTGTCTTTAGGAGCATTTAAAAAAGTGTCTTTGCAGGGAAAGTGCACGATTCTCGGGAGAGATTTTATTTTCTGTGCTGGGGTGTGTGAGATCTTTTCTTTCATTTTCTCTTCCAGTGGGTTGTCATTGGGATGTAGAAGAGTCGCTCGTGTTCGCTATGGATTCTGTACCCTCTGTCGCTCTGAATGACCACAGTGTGTGTAGTTATCATGAAGCTCACTCCTTAGTGTTGGCCGGTCATGTGAACAGTATTTACAGATGGGGAAACGCCCTCCCCGTTCCTCCAAGCTGACACCTGTCCCGTCCTCGTCTCACTCACTCAGCGTGGCTGCTGCTTCCAGAACAAGGTGGCCGAGGACAGAGGACAGTGGCATCTTTGTTTCGAGATGTTTTTGGTGTCGCCCGTTAAGCTTGGTACCAGATTTGGGGCCGGTAGAACTTCCTGAATGTTGAGGACCTTCTCATCTTTCCTCCTTTTTCAGGACTTTTTTTTTTTTTTTTTAAACCCCAGTTAGGCCGCATACAGTGCAGTGTTAGTCTCAGGTGTGCAACACGGAGTCGACATTGCCCTCCATCACGGCAGGTGCACGCCTTCATCCCCGTCACCTGCTTCCCCCCCACCCACCTCTCCTCCAGTGACCAGCAGCGTGTTCCCTGCAACGAAGAGTCTGTTTCTTGCTTTGTCTCTTTCTGCCCCTTTGCTTTTTGTTTTGTTTCTTAAGTTCCACATACGAGTGAAATCACATGGTGTTTGTCTTTTTCTGATGGACTTATTTTGCTCAGCGTAATACTTTCTAGCTCTGTCTACCTCATCGCAAATGGCAAGAGTTCATTCTTTTTGATGGCTGAGTAATATTCCGTTGTATATATGTGTGTATACACACACCACATCTTCTTAATCTGTGCGTCATTTGATGGACACTTGGGCTGCTTCCACGGTTTGGCTGTGGGTGACATTGCTGCTGTAAGCATCAGGCTGCATGTGTCCCTTGAATCTGTAATTTTGCATCCTTTGGGTAAATGCCTCCTAGTGCAATTGCTGGGTCGTAGGGTAACTCTATTTGTAACTTTTGGAGGGATCGCCATACTGTTTTCCAGACTGGTCGCACCAGTCTGCATTCCTACCAACTGTGTAAGAGGGTTCCTATCAAGGATTTTTAAATTTTTAATTTTTAAAAAAGGTTTTATTTAGACACAGAAAGAAAGGGAGCCCAAGAGCAGGGAAGGGCAAAGGGAGAGGGAGAACCTGAATCAGGCACCGTGTGGTATGTGGAGCCCAATGTGGGGCTCTATCCCAGGGCCCTGAAACCATGACCTGAGCTGAAATTAAGTCAGACACTCAGGGGTGCCTGGGTGGCTCAGTCGGTTAAGTGCCTACCTTTGGCTCAGGTCATGATCCCAGGGTTCTGGGGTCAACTGCATTGAGCTCCCTGCTCATCAGGGAGTCTGCTTCTCCCTCTCCCTCTGCCCTTCCCCACTTGTGCTCTTTTTCTCTCTCAAATTAATAAATAAATCTTTTTTTTAAAAAAAGGAACCAGTCTTGGAATTTGGAAATTGACTACATTTCCTCTTCTAAGTTTATCAATTTCTGCTTTTATCTTTATGGCCTTCCTCCTGCTTTTAAACAATGCTTTTGTTCTAGGTTTCCATTTTGAGTTGGATGCTTACATTATTATTTATTATTTAAGTAAAATCACCACCTGTCACAAGGCCTTTCTCGTGTTCTGGCTTCAGTATTCAAAGTTCCAGCCCATCATGATGAGTAGATATTTTCTCCCATTTTGTTTAAAAAACATGCCAAGGTTGTCTTTGTGGCTTAAAACGTGGTCAATGTTAGAAATGAAACGATGACAGCTGGCAGGTTGTCAGGCGTCATAGCCCCGTGTCCCTCATCAGAGCAGGCGTGTTGGCTCCCGACCTCTTCATGTCCTGAGCATCTGCGCTCACCCTCTCTCTGGTCCTCCTGATCACACCCCTTCCAGGAACGCATGTGTGTGTGTGTGAGTGTTATATATGAGTGTGAGAGCATGTGAGGAGGAGGAGGAGGGGGACCTGGCCTGAGGCAGGATTTGGGGGGTCCTCCCCCTCAGCCCCACTCTGCCTCAGCAGATAGCCCAGCACCTGTCTGTCCCACGCTCTTGTGATTGCTGGATCCTAGAGTAAGAGTGTATCTAGTTTTAAAGAAACCACCCAACTGTCCCTCAAAGCAGCTGCACCATATTTTTTAAGTTTATGTATTTATTTAAGTCATTTCTATGTCTCGCATGGGGCTGGGACTCGCGACCCTGACATCTGGAATCGCCCACTCCTCTGACAGAGTCGGCCACGCGCCCCGCATGGGTCGTCCCACATCCCCACCAGTGGTGAGCAAGTGCTTCTGGGCCCCACATGTTGGCCAGCGGTGGGTGTCGTCGGGGGCAATCAGGGCTGTCCCTGAGGGGTGTGGTTCCCGTGTACTTGGCCTTGACACGGGATGTGGAGCATCTTGTCACGTGCTGGTCCCTGTCTCGCCATCTCCTTGGGTGCTGCGCCTCCATCTGGAGCTCCCCCATCTGGTTTCTAATCTACTTGCTTGCTCATTGAGTGTTGAGAGACCTCCGTACGTTGGGACAGCGACCTGGATCAGACGCGTCGTTCGGAATAGGAGTGTCAGGAAGACTCGTGGAATACTGGTCCCACTTCTTCCGTACTCAGACTTGTTACATGTGAATGACAACTTGCTGGCTCTTCCATCCTGGTCACACGTTCTTTTCTTGAGGAACGGAGGGGTTTCTCCGCTCTTGTCTGGCCCGAGTGGGGTCCCTGGACTGACATCATCCGTATCTGATGTCGGGATCAAGTGAAGGTTCTCCGGCCACAGACGCAGACTCAGAAGTGCAGGGGCTGTGTCCTCATCCTTGGTGCCGTGGGGAGCCGTCCGCATGACCGTCCACACTTCCGCGCTGTGGGGCTCTATGGTCAGCTTCCTTTTTCCTCCTTGGAGATGACTTGATGGCTTTGTCTGGCTCAAAGTCATTGTTTATATGTGAGGTCCCTGCGCGGGAACACGTCTCAGCGCCGGCTGTCCCACATCAACTCGGTCTGCTGCGCGCTGTGCCTTTCCAGGATGTCAGTATGCTGCATTTCCTTTGTTTCGGGAAGGATTTTTTAAAAAGATTTTTATTTATTTGAGAAAAAGGACATGAATGGGGGAAGTGGCAGAGAGAGAGGGAGAAACATTCTCCGCTGAGTAGGGAGCCCCATGAGGAACTTGATCCCGGGAACCTGGGATCATGATCTGAGCCAAAGGCAGATGCTTTGAGCCACCCAGGCATCCCCAGGAAAGAGGTTTTTTTTTTTTTTTTTAATTGTGTCTTTAAGTCATTTCTGTGCTGGAATTTCAGCTTTCTTTATGGCAGTCTGGCCACGCACGTGCTAAGTCCCTTGGCTTCTCGAATCCTTCCTGCTCCTTTCATCTTGCTTATCCTTCTTGATTTGCCTCCAGGTCCCTCCTGTCGTGCTCTCTGGTCTGTTTCCCTCCCGCTGGCCAGCTCCACCCCACCCCTCACTTCCTAGAAGGCCGGTGTGTGCACGTGTGTGTGCGTGTGTGTGCATGTGTGTCTGTGATGTCACAGCTTCTGCCTTCTCTTGCCTTGCCCCAGAGTGACGATGTCTGTTTGCTTCCTCATGGATACGTTCCAGTGTGTTGTTCTCGGGGCCCAGGGCAGCATCCTTGGTTAAGAAACGACTAAGACGTTCACGGCACCGAGCATGAAAGCACATGTCAAGCCCTATTGCATATGACGTGCCCCGCATGGTTCCCCTGCCTACGAGGTGGCTCCTCCGGCAAGAGAAGGCCACCTGTGCTGGGTCCGTCCCCAGAGGACGCACCCCTCGTCGCCCTTGCACGGACGTTCAGGGTTGCACGTGCTGTTTGTAACTATCACGTGGCCTCTTCTCTTTCCAGGAGGAGTCCACGTGCTCCGGGCGTTTATCTACGAGTTCTGTGGAACTGAAAAGGAGCTGGGGCCTTACTTTTTGGAGGTTGGCCCTGCGACCATGTCCGTGTTCATGAATTCCAGCAGCATCCACAAGGACGAGCTTCTCGTCTTTGCCGGCCCCGGCATGGGTCAGGAAGGTAAAAGACACACGCGGAGTCGAGTGCCCAGACCCACCTGAGCTGGCGTGGTACCATCCGAGTCCAGTCGACTGTCCACACAGACACGCATTCATCCTTTCCCCTGCCTCATTGGCACGGCGCTGTGCTCCGAGGGGCACGTGTGGATGAAGTCCCCGGGTCCTGGTCTCGGGGTTGACGGTCTAAGAAAAGCATTGAGGTCGGTGTCGGAAACACAGGAGCCGGGGATGAATGAGCGCTCACAGGGGTCAGGCCCTCTGCTCGTGCTCCGCTCCCATCAACCCCCGGTCACCGGCGAGGGGCCCCCCATCCGCTCAGTGTCGTAGACGAGGAACCTGGCTTGGGGGCCAGCGGGACGGGAGTGGGGCATCAGCCACGTGTCAGCAGCACATGGAGGGAAGAGTCGTGGGCAGACATGGGCGCCTGTTGAAGACAGCCGCAGAGTGCTCGGCCTGAGTGGCTGGGGCGATGGGTTACGTTTCCCAGAAGCGGGGAGGAGGGGAAGCCAGTGTGGCATGTGTCCCGAGGCTCCCGCTCACATGGAGGTCTTTGAACCTGGTTCTCCACACTGACCGTCCGGCTTCCATGGGGTTGGCCTCGCGGGAGCCTCTCCACCCAAGAAATTAGGCCAGGCAGGTGGGGGTTGGGCAGCCTGTCCCCGGCGATCCTGTGTCAGGAGCTGGAATCGGAGGGCCCAGCACAGGTGCGCGTGGCACGACGTGTGCCACGCAAATCCACGTGTGCGTTTCGTTCTGTGGCCGGTGCTGCGTTCCCGCCTGCGGAGCCACAGCTGCTGCCGTGGGAGGGCGTCTCTGTCAGCCACGGGGTCAATTTCCCGGAAATTCTAAAGCTCGGGTGAACAGGACAGCACTCCGCGTGACCGTTGTTACAAATGAGCATTTTCTCCCCGTGCAGGGAAAAATGACTCTGGGCAGCGGTGCTTGAAGGGAAAGACCCCTCCTTTCCTCATGCAGACACACGGGCTGTCGGAGCCGCCCCAGACACGCCAGTCCTCTGGGACCCAGCGAGGCGTGTGGTGCCTGTCCTCCGCGTACGCCCACGCGTGCATGCACACTCACGCACACACACACGTGTGCACCTGTCCTATACGTGAGGCACTTTGCATTGCGTATCCGAGGGGTCACCGGTCTGAGGCTCACTCAGGGCCCCGTTGAGAGCCTTGTGCAGTAAGACAGCCCTTAGTGTGCCCGCGGGGAGATCCTTCAAGACAGGGCTGTCCAGCGACGGGATGAACACGCCCGCCCCGAGCACAGCCGCTCTCAGGAGCAGGAAACACCGAACAATGTTGTGAGAGACGTTCCGGACAAGGCCCGTGGCCCGCAGGCCTGTCCGACTTCCAGGCTCACTTGTCAGAACTTGAACCTCACCGGAACTCAGAGGCGGAAAGTAAACGATGGAAATACTGGTCATCCACGGCGTGAGACGGAGGCATGGTCCTTCCGGCCCTCACATGTGTTCGTTGTGTTTTGTCGTCTGTTCAGGCTCCGTTGTCTCACATCGATTTCCAGCCGGTCCCTCGAGCAACGTGACCTTCACGTCTCAGAGCCGAGCAGGGGGCAGCCGGGCGTGGGACCGTGTGACCGTCCGGTATCACATGCAGCGTACGTCCTCCCTCTGAGTCTGGCTGGTTAGGGCCCCGGAGGTCGCCTGGTGATCTGATGAGCTCTGATGAGAGTCGCGTTTGCCCTTGAGCCAGCTCTGCGCTCCCCTGCGGTTCGTTCTAGTGCTTTCTAGAAACCACACGCGTCAAGGCTTCGGCCTGAAGCTGTGGGGTGGGTCGCGGTGTAGAAGCCTCCGCCTGCCCCTGGCCCTGTCCCGTGCTCTTTGGAGAGAGCTCGCAGGGGTGGTCACTTTCACTTTATGAGCTACGGCTTCGGTGGCCTTTGATCTGGGGCCAGAGTCGCCCAGCGGGTTCCCACTGCAGCCCTCCATGTGGAATGGGGACCGTCCCTCCCGGCGCCCTGTGTGGGAGGTGAGGGTGCGAGGGTGCTGGTGTCCCTGCACGGCCCCCGCCCTCCGCGCCGACGCTTCTCTCCCTCCCCCACTCTCACAGCCGTCTCTGTCTACACAAACGGAACCATGTTTGCCACCGACGCCCACATCACTTTTCTGGCTGTTACTGAGGAAACGACACCCCTGGAGTTCACGTGGTCATTTGGAGAAGGTCCAGCCGTGAGGACAACGTCCAGAAGCATTAAGAAAAGACTCGGTGTCCCCCGGTGGTGAGTCCGCGGGCGTCATGACAGGCGGCTGCGGGAAGCTCGGCTTTAGCTCGTCCACAGACTCCCCCGATGTCGCTGCAACAATTTCGGACGCCGCTGCGGACAGGAGGGGCACACGGGGAAGGCTAAAGGATGACGAAGTCCCTCCTGCCTGAGCTAGGGGTGGGCGTGCGGCTTTGGAACCAGCGGTTCCGGGTCAGATCCCACCTTCTCAGATCCCACCCCCTAAGTCAGTCCCCGTCCAAGCCCCGGTCCCAGTGCTGCTCCTGCCGCTCTGCACGTGACTGACACGAAGACGAGGGGTGGTCCCACCGTCCCACTACCTCTCCCAGTGAGCGGGGAACTGTGGGGGCTGGGGGTGCCTGCAGATGAAAGTGCCCCCTCCCCCAATCTTTCTTTTTTTTTTTTTTAAGATTTTATTTATTTATTTGACAGAGATCACAAGTAGGCAGAGAGGCAGGCAGAGAGAGAGGGGGAAGCAGACTCCCTGCCGAGCAGAGAGCCCGATGCGGGGCTCGAACCCAGGACCCTGAGATCATGACCCGAGCGGAAGGCAGAGGCTTAACCCACTGAGCCACCCAGGCACCCCTCCCCTACCTTTCTCGGGGCTGCTCTCTACCTCTGACCCGCTCTTGTCCCCCACCTGCCCTTCCTGCCCCCTTGGCGGTCCCCCCACAGGTACAACGTGACGGTGCGGGCCACCAGCGAGCTGGGCAGTGTGGCCTCGGAGCCCCGCCGCATCAGGACGCAGAGGAGAATTGTTGCCAATCGGCTTGCGTCCCCCTCCTCAGCTCTGCTGAACACCAGTGTGACGTTTGAGTTCAGGCTCAACTTTGGCACCGATGTCACTTTCCTGTGGGACTTTGGGGACGGCACCGTGGGCCCAGGGGACAGTTCGGCCAGTCACACCTACAGCAGGTGAGCGGCTCAGTCACAGGCACAGCTCTGTGGTGGCGGCTGGAAGGGCCTTTGTGAGGCGTGAGCCCCTCGTCCTCCACAGCCAACCTGGCAGTGCGTGCAGTTGGCAGACACCGAGGAGAGTCAGATAAACCTGCTGTCCAGGAGCTCACGGTCTGGGGCCTGGGGACGGCAGGCAGGAAAACAGTTACTGTGAGCACCAGGATGCAGGGACAGAGCTGTGAGACGAGGGGTGGGGGTGCAGATAGAGGTAGAAGGTGCTCGGAAGGATGGCCGGGGGCTCACTGTCTGCTGAAGAGCTTGGGCTCTGTCCTTTCATTCGGCATTTACTGAGCACCTGCTGTTTACCTAGAAGGAAACATTATGGAGATCCAAGCACCGCCGGGCCTGCCGGGGGGAGGTGGGCGTGTCCACGGGAAGCCACCAAGACAAACCGTAGGATTTCCACCGTCGAGGTTAGGGGAGTGGTGAAGGGCAGGCCAGCCAGGTCTGAGCCTGAGCCTCCCGGCCGTTGCTCCTCAGCAGGGGGTGAGCCCTACCCTGGGTTACGGAGGCCGTGCAGACCTCTGGGCGGAGCTGGGCCTCCGGCTAGCGTGGCACCGTTCACGTTGCCGTAATGAAGTAGTGACGGGTGCAGAAGGGCCGAGAAGCGAGGCCTGTGTGGCGCAGCAGCAGGGAAAGACGGCCGACCTCCCTGAGTGCAGGACTTCCTCTAGAGCCCCCGTGGCCTCGCCACCCACAAGGACATGCCTGCACGGCCCAATGCGAGCTCTCCCTGTGTGCCCTCTCCATGGGAGGTGGGTGTTCACGGGAGGAAGGAATTGAGCAGGGGCGCCCTGGCAGGCTTCCCCAGGGGCACACCTGGGCCCCAGACCTGGGGATGTGCTCTGTGGCCCCGGGATGGACATGCGCCGCTCTGCACCCCTGCCCCATTTCTGGAGTGTCCCAGGGGTCCCCAACCACCTGGACCCTGAGGGGGACCCCATAGCCTGCACTGGGGTCAGCAGGACCCACCCTCCTTAGGGACACACCATGACAGCAGGTGGCACTCTGGTTCCGTGGCTCAGGGAGCAGAGCGGGAAGATCATGCCCACTTTCTGGGTGAGGGGCCGGGGTGCCCATCATCACATGGAGGGTCATCCCGTGGGGCAAAGATGGGCCAGGCCATGGCCACCGGGATCTGTCCCCACAGAACGACTGTTTCTCCGTCAGCAGGTGACATCAGTCTGGGAGCTGGGCGGGCAGCCGGTGTGTTAACTAGGTAACAGAGGCCCCTGTGGACCAGCCTCATGGGCGGACGCCCTCTGTGCTCACGGGTGGGCTGTCTGGCCCTCAGGTCCCACAGTGACGCAGTGGAGGCTGTTAGGAAGGGGACAGGAGAGGCAGACGCCTGGTGGGCTGGGTGTTTGCATTCCTGTGTGCTGTGGCCCTTGCAGGGAAGGAGAGTTCACTGTCCAGGCCCTTGCCTTCAACGACGTCAGCGCCGCCTCCCTGCGAAAGCAACTGTTCATCGTGCGGGAGCCCTGCCAGCCGCCCCCCGTGCGGAACATGGGGCCCAGGAAGGTGCAGGTAGGCCGGGCCTGGGAACAGCGGGATTTTGGGGAACAGACACCAGGGGGGCACCTCTTGGGGCTCCTGAGGCCCCTGGCAAGGTTGGGGGCCTCGTCCCGGCCTTGCAGGGGCCTTACTGGCCTTGATCGCTCTGGTGTTCGGTTCGGCCTGCTTTGAGGGGCTGTTTAGAAATTGCTTGTGCAGGCTGGCCTGGGCGGCTCTGTCATTAGCCCTCTGCTTCCCGCTTAGGTCATGGTCCGGGGTCCTGGGATCAAGCCCTGCACTGGACTCTGCTCAGCGGGAGCCTGCTTCTCTCTCTGCCTGCCGCTCCCCTGCTTGTGCTCTCTCTCTCATGCTCTCTGTCTTACAAATAAATGAATTTTCTTTTAAAAAAAGAAATAGCTTGTGCCAAGCACTCAAGCATTTTCAGGAGAAAGGAATGTTTGGATTCCTGTGAAGTCAACAGCCAAAGACACGATTGGTCCCTTCCCAAGCTTTCACTGTGCATTAGGAGAAGGAGGGAGCACCCACTGTGGGTTAGGAGAAGGACGGTGGTGTTTTACTTCTTTTGTTCCTCTGGGGCCTCCGGGTTAGAGCAGATTTCCCATGTCAGGGCAGAATTGTTTGTGACACATCGAAATCCAAGCTGTGACTTGGCTGCATTTCCAGACTGCACACTGGGCCTCCGACCAGGGTCCAGGGTCAGGTACCTCCCACCGGGGATGAGGTGGCGGGGATCGGGGGACCCACAGAAGAGCCCCCAGGGCAGGGCCTGGATGGTTCCTGCCACATGGCTCCTGCAGGATGGTGACGGCCCCTCACAGGCAGGACCCGAGCCCCCATTAGGCCAGTACACACCTGTGTGTGTGCACTGACAGTGGGCTTTCCGGGTCGGGGGGATGGACAGAACGTCAGGGGGACCCTACCATGGAGACGGGGATGGCCAGGAACCAGGGGAGACGGACTGCGTTTAAATCGTGACTCTGCTCTCAGGTTGAGGCACTGAATGTGGCCTGTCCTGGTTAGACAAGGTCCAGGGGCGTCGTCCGCAGCATGTGGTCCAGACTGTTACTGGTGATGTGACCCGGGGTTCTGTTCTAAACAAAGGAACCAACACTGATGAGTCCATTTTTCCTTTATAATTTTTTTTTGTGTACACATTTTCTGAAAGTGTAAGGGAAGGGGGGAGTCATTTGGAACACAGCAAGAGAGCCCCACTGTGTCCCTGGACACACTTAAGGAAGGCCAAAGGTCCACTTCTAGTGTTAAGGAATACCAGTCTTAAAATCCCATTTCCCAACTCCTTCTAGACGTTTACTCTTTTCCCTTTGTTGTGGGAGATTTTCGTTAAACTGTCCTGCAAGGAAGCTTTTGTGCTTGTTCCCTCTCTCGCTGTGTCTCTCTATGTCAAATAAATAAATACAATCTTGAAAAAAAAATGGTTTTTTAAAAAGATATATTTATTTTAAAGAGAGAACATGAGCAGGAGAGGGGCAGAGGGAGGGAAAGAGAATCCCAAGCAGGCTCCCTGCTGAGAGTGGAGCCTGATGTGGGGCTCAATCTCACAGCCCTGCGATCGTGACCCAAGCGGAAATCAAGAGTCAGGCACTTAACACGCAGAGCCACCAGATGCTTCTCTGTGGCATCAAGCATAATGGACGTTTCGAGACCTCTTTCTCTCTAACCCGCAGGTGTGGCGGTCTCAGCCTGTGGCCCTGGCCGTGACGTTCGAGTCTGCAATCCTCTGCAACATCTCCCAAGGCCTCTCCTACACCTGGACCTTCTGGAACTCCCAGGGGTGGCCGGTGGCCCTGCCCCCAACCGTCAGCACGCACAGGCAGACGGTCACTGTCCCCAGCTACTTCCTGGCGCCCGGCAACTACACTGCTCTTGCCAGGGTAGGTTGTCAGAAGACATTTGTCCCACCAGCCCCAGAGCTGGAGCTCAGCCCCGTCCCTCTAACCTGCTCTACTAGAGATAATGAGGGTCATCACAACAGGTGGGGCTGGGCTCCCTAGAAAAGCTTAGCTCCTCTCAGAGAGCAAATTGCTTGTCCAAACGCAGGAAAGTCATCGTGAAAATCTCATTCTTTTAGCAAAAGCCTCCTGAGCATGTGCTTTGACGGTGTCGCTGAGGTAGTCCCGAAATGTCAGAGAGTGTCAGTGTCGTCACAGAGCGTCCCGCCTGGAACGGGAGTGCACGTTAGTCAGACCGCGGAGGCCAGGAGGACACCCTGCAGACCAGGCTGCTGCTGGCACTTGGTGTATTTTGGCTGGAAAAATGGTGAAAATATGTTGTGGTCCTTTCTAGAAGAGTTGGCTTCATGGAGCAGAGTCTGTTCGCAGGCAGAGACCGGCCCTGAGTTGTCCTGCTGTCTCAGAGTTTCCGGGGAGCTCATCACCTCCCGGGGGAGGGGTGGCTGTGAGCCCTGCCCCGCGCCAGGTCGGGAGAGGGTTCCAGAATGGCGGAGGCTGGGACGGTCCCCTAGGAGCATGCAGGGTTTGTGGGGGTGGGTGGGGGGACACGGGGCTGAACACATGAGTAGGAGGCTCTTCTGAAGACCAGGGGAAGGCAGAGATGGAGGGATCGGGCCTCAGGGCTCAGCGGGCCATGATGGCAATGTTGGAGGGGGGGCAGGTGGATGGGGGTGAGGGGACTGTGCTGGGTCTCAGGGCGGAGGCCAGGAGCAGTGAGGGAGGAGGGAGGGCAGGTAGCCCTTGTGTTTTGGGGCTGGGGCAGGGGAAGGAGTCAGACAAGGAGGCGAGCTTTGGTCCGTCTGTATTAAGCATCGTAAGGATCTGTGTCACTACTTTTCCTTAAATTTTAAAATAGTGGAAAAGTTTTATTAGTTATAGTTTAAAAAAACAAACAAACAAACAACACTGTTCCCATAATGGTCTGTGTTGTTTTTTAGTTTAACACGGCTTAACATCTTCGTGTCCGATGTCGCTTGGGCAGTGGCGAGTAGGTGTCCTGTTTCCGTGACTGCCCCTGAGCCCTCCTTGTCGCTGAGGAACCTGGGGGAGTGACTCCTAGAAGGGTACATTTCAGCTGGACGGACAGGGCCAGAGCAGACCCTGTGAGGTCCACTGGACTGTGCTACCAGCCTAACTGCCAGCGTCCCAGCTGGGCACGAATGGGGTGGTGGAGTGTGTCTGAGGCGGGCGTCTAGCCAGCCTTGCCGAGAGGCCACCTGTCTGGTCTGGCCCCACACTTGGCAGACCCCAGATGGTGTTGTTGGTTTTGTTAGAAATGGCCATTCTTGTGGGGTCTGGTTCATACTGTGTAAGGTCGCTAGTGCCATGTGACCTGGCAAAAAGAGAAAGGGACAGGACAGCCCATGGGGTTTCCTTTCTATCCACTGGTTCTGAGCAAGTGCGTGCAGCTGGGTAAGGTGTGCGAATGTGGGCATGGGCACGATCGGTGAGACCACGTGCCGGTCGCCTGTGCGTCCGGTGCCGAGAGCTCCTTTCCCCCAGGCTCTGGACAGTGGGTTTGCGGCACTTGTCCTGCCCGTGTGGAAAGAGTGGAGGCTGGGATCCAAGCCGCCAGGTGCGGCGGCTCCGTGTTGGCACGCTTGCTCGCGAGCCTGTCATTGCCCACAAGTGGCTTGGACACATCTTCCTCCAGGTCACGGGACCTGCCCTGTTGAGGTGCTCCTGGTGATGTCTGAGCTTGTCCTCACGTTGCCTCCGGAGGTCATACCCTCCGATGTGCAGACCCCCTGCTGTCACTGCCATCCTTCCCAGCAGCCCCCCACACATCCCCATCTTTGGACATTCCCGATGGTTCCTCCAGCGGTGGAGGTGGAGGTGGGAGTGGGATCACACAGTCGGTAGATGGCCATCAGGGCCCCACTTGGGAGAGCCACCAGCAGGGAACCTCGGGTGCATTTCTGAAGGAGGCCACAAAGAACTGGGCCCAGACCCACGAAAAGAGCAAAAAGTGTGACGCTGTTCCCGATTGTGTCAAATTCTCAAAGAGCCCTTTGAATGGCGGGTTTACAAAATGTTCCAGTATTCCCGAGTTGCGGAATAGTGGTCTTACAGTTCATTTACGTTGCTTCAAGCCTGTTGCACGAGGGCTAGAAATGTAGTTTTTTTTTTTTTAAGATTTTATTTGAGAGAGAGCGGGAGCAGGGGGAGGGGCAGAGAGAGAGTCTGAAGCAGACGCCCCGCCGTGTGCAGCCCAACGGGGCTCGATCTCACGATCCTGAGATGATGACCTGAGCCGAAATCAAGAGTCAGCTGCCCCGCCGCCTGAGCCAGCCAGGTGCCCCGGAAATGTAGCTTACAGGAGGCCGGCTAATGCCATCCGAGACCGCGGGCAAGCTTCCTGTTGGCGGAGCAGGCTTGGCGGTTGGCCTGTGTGCTGATGACAGGGACCGTGTCTTCAAAGGTGTACCTGGGGAGTCGCAGCTCTGTGTGCCCCCAGACATGAGTACATGTCCCTACCCGCCCCTGCTCCAGCCACCTTGGCTGCGCTGGCACACAGTAGGCGGTTTCTCTGACACAGGTGACGGTTGGGGTTCAGAATAATGGAGCGTGTCGGTGCGGCGCTGGGAGGCGCTGTTGGAGCTGGCGGCTCGCTTACATTCACAGTTTCCTTCCAGTATTATCTTGGTTTTGAACTTACTTATTTACTTCGAAGTCATCGCTACACCCAAGGTGGGGCTCGAACTCACGACCTCGAGATCAAGAGTCGCACGCTCCACCGACGGAGCCCACCGGGTGCCCCAGTCTCCTTGCAGCGTCAGAGGGCATCTGGCTCCAGCGCGCCTCCTGCCCAGGCCCCTGGGTGACGCCCCCTTGTCGCCGTGTTCCAGGTGCGGGTGGAAGGCAGCGTGGTGCACAGCAGCTACAGCGTGGCGGTGGAGGTGCGAGCCCGGGCCCCCGTCAGCGTCATCTCCGAGGGCACGCACCTGTTCCTCTCCAGAGCCCCCTCCTTCCCCGTCGTCCTCACGGGCTCCCAGTCCTACGACCCAGACCACCCGGGGGCCGTCCTCAGGTGAGCACCCAGGAGCCCGACTCACGTCTTCAGCGGGGGGCGGACATATGGGAGACGGGGGACGGCTGTCACTCAGACGGGAGTAGCGCTGGACGTCGGTATTTGAGAAGTGAGGTGCCGTGTGTCAGAGCGTGCAGCCTGCGGAGCTCAGGGGCAGCGGACGCGGCTTTCTGTGGACTGGAGGCCGGCAGGCTGATGGAGGGCCAGCCATTTGGTGTCTGGGACGATCTGCCTCCTGGTTCCTAGCTGGTTCTTCTCGCGGCGTCCTCATGGGGCGGGCGGGGAGGGGGTGCCGGGGGCTCCGCCCTAGAAGCGCCATCTGTCCCTTCCTGGAGGCTCTATCTCCACGACCTAATCCCCTCCCAAGGCCCCCGTCACCACCCTGTCACACGGGGCGTTAGGTCTCCACATCGTAGCGGGACCCCTCAGTCCTTGGCAAACACGTTACTCTGTGACTGACGTTCTTGCTCTGATGAAGGGGGGACTTGACCTCCGCGTGCCCCTCATCCCGCACTGCTGGAGGTCCCCGGCTCAGGCCTTGGTCCCCTCCCCATCCACATGCCCTCCCCAGTGGCCTCACCCGATTTCCTGATGGGACCGGATCCATGTGACAGTCACCTGCAGCAAGCATCCTGCGTCCACACTGTTCTTGGCCTCCAGGCTGGGTGTCCCGCCGTCTCTGGCCTGGTCCCCGTGCAGCCTTCCCGTCTCTGCAGGCGGAAGGTCCTTCCCAGCGTTCAGGCCAGTCTTCACCGAGCAGGTGGACGGAGTCTGTGAGAGCCCCGTCACCGCCCCACCCCCTTCCGACTGCGCTCGGACATCACGTGCCCGGGGAGGCTTCCGATGACCCCGCAGTGATGACGTCCCGTGCTGACTCCCCGGTGTCTTCTTCCAGAGCCCCGTCTCCCCGTGACATCCCGCAGTCCTCATCAGTGCTCCGTCCCCGCTGGCATGTTCGCCGCGGCGGGCAGGGCCGTGCCTTGGCATGTCCCTGTGCCTGGCACAGAGTGGGTCGTCCGGGGCTATTTCTGAATAGAGAGAGCAGACAGCTGCTGCGGCCCGAGCGTGGCTGTTGGTGGAGGCGAGAGGCGGCCTGCTGGGCTCGCAGGTCACACGCACGTGTTCTGGACACACACACGCTGGCATCGTGCCCCCGTGCCCCGGCCGCGGGAGACAGAGCGGGGCCTCGTTCCTCGTGGACCCTCGCTGAGAGCCCTGCGTGGTGCCCACGGCAGGAGCTCAGCATGTGTCTGCGGAGACGGGCAGAGTCCGCTCCCGGGGAGGGGGGACTGTTTCCGCCCAGCCAGGAGGAGGGTTGCTCCCCAACGGGCCTGAGCTAGACCAGCGCCCACCAAGTTCCTACAGGCTCTGGAAACAGGGAGGCTTAGAACTGGTGCTTGGGTCCAGGTCACTCACAGTCCAGACACGGAAGTGAACTTGGAGGGGCGAGAAGCAGTGTGGACTTCGGGGTGCTGTGTGGGGAGCCCACACCTCCTCCTCCCACACCTCCCGGTGGGGCTGCTTATCTCCATGTGTCCCCCAGAGGGCCCGCTCCTGGCCCGGGTGGGGGCTGGCTTCCTGATCGTTGAGCAAAGTGGCGACTGTCACAAGGCAGAGGACCATATAGGAGATACATCTGGCACTTATCTCCTGGCCCGTCCACTTGCGCTCCGGGACGGGCAGGCCCCGAAGCCTTGGCCTTCCCAGGGTCAGAGTCTGCGTGCTTCTTGGGGGCTGCAGAGACACCAGTGGAGGTGGGAGGTGGCATGCATGGGGCCAGAGCAGGGCCCTGAGCCCGTAAGCCAGGTGAGGTGGGGCCTGGCCCCTGACCTTGGCGGCCCTGCTCTGGCATCGGAACCTCCCACCCTGCCTCCATCAGAGAGTCTGCCTGCCCGGCCTGCCTGCTCCCCTGGGCCAGGAAAGCCCCGTTAGTGGCCGGGGTGGTTACCTGACTGCTGGGGCAGGTGCGTTCAGCCCCGTGGTGCCTTCTCCTGCAGCTATCACTGGAAATGCACCGTGGCCAGCAGCCCCGGGCACTCCTGCTTCGCCACCTCCTCGCCACGCAGCCTGGATGCCGGGGCTCCCTCCCTTGCCTTCCCTGCAGACTCTCTCAGCGACAGCTATGACCAGTTTGTCGTGACGCTGACAGTGTCCAGCGCCGGCCAGAATTCTTCAGAGGCGCAGGTGTTCCTGTCCCCTCGCCCCGACTCGGCACTCAGGTACCACCTGCCCCTTGCTCCCTGCAGGACGGATCCAAGGGCCGTGCCCTTCTGTGCCCTGCCTGGCAGGTGTGGGAGACACCTGCTGAGGAGGAATGGGGCTGGCCAGTGAGGGCGGCGGAGCCCGCACTCCGGTGGCTCAGGGGCGGAACCTGTCCCAGCAGCCGTCCCAAGACAGGGTCTGTTGTCGGGCTTGGGGCTGAGACTGGACAGAGATTAAGCATCTCGGGGCCTCTGCGCAGCACCTTCCAGGCATCGTGCGGCTGGGCCAGTGGTGACGTGGGGGCAGTGCAGGGAGCAAGGTCGTGCTCTAGACACAAAGCAGACCTGCAACAGGGAGGCCAGGCCAGCACCTGAGTGAGGGCCACGCTGAGCCCAGCGCTGGACGCAGGCTGGCGTGAGCCGCACCTGTTCCGCACGCCCCCAGGGGGACAAGCGGGACGCCTGAAGGACTGGGGTGCACAGAGCTGCTCCCCTACACGGACCCTGCAAGTGGTCTGGGCAGTTACCATTGCCTTGTTGTGTAAAAACAGCTCAGGGTTAAAAGTGTGCAGAAAGAGTGGGTTCTGGCAGGCTTCCCGGAGGAAGAAGAAAATTAGCTGTGGCTGGCCAGGACCAACACAAAGGAGAGGACGTGAGCTGTGGCACTGAGGTCAGATAGATGACTCTGGTGGAGACCGCCCCTGCCCTGGGGTTCAGGGTTGAGGCCGTGAAAAGTGCGTCTCAGCAGACAAGCGTGGGTGCCTCTCCACGTCCAGCCAGACCCAGGTCTCCTGCGCTTTCTGAAAGCTCCCAACATAAAAGCGCAGGAATCAAGGTTCTAGGCTGGCTCGGTCGATACAGCGTGACTTCTGATCTCAGGGCCATGCGGTCAAGCCCCATGCTGGGTGTGCAACTTACTGTAAAAAGAAAAATTAAAAAAAGAAAGTGAAGGAACGTCAGTACAGGACTACAAACCTTGGGTCATAATTTAGATAATTATATTTAATAGATTTTTAGATATGAATTAGGTTAATTAATCTCAATTAATTAGTATTAATTATAATAAGCTTTTATTCTAAAAACACAACATACAATATAATTCTGCTGCTCACAAGATAAAGATTTTATTTAAAAATACTTTTTCATTGTGCAAAGGTGTGGGGTGGGCGTTGGTCAGTGTTGTCAGGCACAATCTGGGCCCCTGCTCACCACAACTTAGGGGGACCGGGGACCAGATGGGCCTCTTCTGTCCCGAGCCCACCCCGTCCCCACCCACCAGGCGCACACACACCCCGCAGGGAGACACGCTCACACACAGAGATGCACACACACAGGGACCGGCGGGCCGAGGCCCCTCGAGGAAACTTCGTGGCCCCGTGTGCTGGGCTCCCCCCATCCCGGGGTCCTGCGCTGGGAGCCACGTGTAGAGGCCACAGTGTGAGACGTGTGCAGGCATGCCGCCTTCACGTGGGAGATGCTGGCCCCCCACGCGCCCTGTGGGTCTCCCACCGTGACCTGCTGATGGCTGCCGAGTCTCTCAGGAGAAGGTCCTGTGAATCAGGCCTTGGTGGCCATCCCAGGGTACCACGTAATGCCCTAAGGGACTGCACGTGCCAGTCAGTGATAGAGCCTGGCTGTGGGGCCACGGGACTGAGGGAGCTGGCGGGGTTCCTCACGTGGGGTGGGGCCAGAACACAGGGGGCGGTGAGGCCACGGGACATGAATTACATACCTGGCCATTGGGGGATATCCAGGTGAGGCTTAGGTTGGTCAGAGGGAGCTCCGAGGTGAGGTGAGCACTCGGGGGACCTCCCCTCTGTGGACAGTGCAGGTGAGGCTGGGGTTGGGGGGCCGTGGGCTGAGGCTCAGGGGGCCGTAGGGCCAGGATGCCATCCGGGCTCTGCCCTGAGCTCTGTGTGACCCGGAAGACTCGCACACCCTCTCTGTGCTCGGTGCGTGTGCGTCCTGGGACCTGGCCCGTGTCATGAGGTGGTGTCGGGGGGACCTGGGTGCAGGCTCAGCCGCCCTGCAGTGCTCAGGCGTGCCGGCCCTGACACCGACCCGCACTTAGCACAAACGAGTGAGGCCGCCGGACTGTCCGGTGTTCTCCCTAAGATCCCCAACCGGGTTCGCACGGCACAGGTTTGTCCACATCTCCTGGGTCAGCTTTAAGGACGTGTTTGTTAACTGGAACGAGGAGCTTTCTCTTCGAGCCGAGTGTGACGAGTGTGGTGAAGGCCCCCACCTGTCTTACTCCTGGGACCTCTTCCTGGTCAACGCGACCGAAAGGACCCGAATGGAAGGTAAGGTCACGGCCGCCTTCACTTTGTTAACCCAGGCGAGGACTCGGTGTTCGAGGATTGCTGAGAACACGCAGGCTCCGCGGCGTCCAGACCAGTGTCCCTGGCTGTGCCCATCACACCGAGCTCCCCAGCCCCTCTCCTTTATGCTCCCGGAGACGGAGATGCCCGAGCACTGCGGCTCAGCCACCTGCACACGACCCAGAACTTGTCTCCGTCCCTCGCAGCTCCTGCTGTCGAGGCCAGTCCTCGCCCCGGCTCTGAGACCCGCGATTTCAGGCCCTTCTCCGGGAGGTGGTTTTCTTGGGTGGGAAGGGTGGGTCCAGCGCTGCGCAGGGCAGTGGCCAGGTGACGTGAGATTGCGTGTGAGAACGTGCCAGCTCCGGGGTGGGACATGGCCTGGGCGCGAGCCAGGAGGGGGAGGGGTTCTCACCCGTGGCCTCTGTGATGAGAGGGACGGCTGGGAACGGCGGACAGAGGAGCTTGTGTTTCTGAGCTGGGTGTGGCTGGCTCCGGGGGCAGCAGCTCGTGCCGAGGCCTCAGAGGCCCGCACTTACTCTGCACCCGTCCCGCGGGGCCGCACGTAGCTTCCATACACGGGCTCTGAGTGCGGCGGACCTCCCAGCGAGGGGGGCAGGAACACTTAGGGGCCGTTGTGCCCTTCTCTGCGGGGGAGCTGTGCCCACATTCCCAACGTAATTGGGTTTTCCAGAAGCAAAGCCGGTGGGGAACGCATGGGAGGAACCGGGGCAAACTGCACCCCGCCCCCCGGGTGGTTAAACTTGCAGCCAAGCCAGTGACTGTCCGAAAGCCATGTGTCTCCCTTTCTTGTCACAGAACCCATCTCTGTGACAGCAGCGAGGACAAGCTCACTCCAGCAAGACGTCCTCATGTCACATCTGTAGAGGTTTTCTCTTTGTCGTTCATCCTTTCTCGTAATTATACCAGCGTTCTTTAGAGTTGTTTCGCGCGACGCGGACAAGTGAGCGAGGGTCAGAGGCTCCACACGCCCAGACAGTGTCTAGAGTAGACGTGAATAACCGTGCCAGGTGTGCTGGTGCAGCGGGAGTCCGTGGCGAGCAGATCCTGGGGGAGCTCCTGCTTCTCCGGGGGGGGTCTGCCTGCCTCCAGGTGAAAACCATGCTCCCTGGTATTTTCTGGGACATGTCCTTCTCAGAGATGGGTCACGTTTGTTAAAATGGCATGCCGATGGAATCTGTAGACCTTTGTATTTATTATTATTATTATTTTTAACGATTTTATTTATGGGAGGCACAAGCAGGTAGGGGGCAGAGGGAGAGGGAGAAGCAGACGGCTCGATCCCAGGACCTCAGGACCATGACCTGAACCGAAACTAACAGTCAGACGCTCAACCAACTAACTGGGCCCCCCAGATGCCTCCATAGACTGTTTTCAACCACATAGTTTTTCTGGTCTGAACGTCTCACCCGGCTCCGTGTTTGTTCAAGTCCCCTCTTGCAGAACAGTGGGGCTGCTGGGCGCTGCTGGCCTGGGGGCCATTTCAAAGCTTCCAGAGCCCAGTCCACCATCCACGGAGCCGAGCCAGCTGGAGCCCCATGCAATGGGCACACTGTCTTCTCGGGAGCTGTCACCACAGACCCAGGCCCCGCCAGTCCTCTCGGCCACCAGGAAACCCTCCTCGGGGCCCACAGTCAGCGGGCACTGGGTTCCTGCTGCAGGTGACCGGCGTTCCCCAGGACCCAGCCCCCCTCGGAGGTCGTCCCCCCAGGGCCCATCGCCCACCCCCTCTGGTAAGTGCCCCTGTCCCGTCACATCCGTGCAGATTGTGGGATGCTCATAGGATCTCAGGGCCTTCCTCACAACCGCAAACCTGTCCAGGCTCTGACAGCTGTCCGTGCACATGGCCTCCCTCGTCCCTTGTCCTTCCCAGCACCAGGCCCTTCACGGTATCGCTGGTTTTCAAGCTGCCCAGAAACGGTTTCTGGGCCTCCAAAGTTGAGAAAGGAGCTCGTTGTCAGGGAGCAAAGCTGTGGCCCAGACTCTGCCTGTCCCTCATTGTCCCTCCCCACTGTCACCATTGACAATGTGCTTTCCTTGGGCTGTGGTCCGGCAGGTGCCACCCTGCCCCAGGACCCCCCGGCCTCAGGTCAGCTGCTAGGACAGGACGCCGTGGGGACAGAACAGTAATGTCTGCAGCAGGACGTGCTTGTGTCCCCTGCTTCCTTCTGAGAGGAGGGGGCGCGATGCTCTCTGAAGGGACAGTGGGAGTTTGGAGAGTGGGGTCCCGGCCTCAGCCTGCACCCAGAAAGCCACACATGCAGACACCTGCCTCCACTGTCACGGTGACGTGGTGACACACATGGAGCCGGGTGTGGACTTGAGACTCGGACCCCGGCAGCCTGTGTGTGCCCTGGGGAGGGTCGTGTGGACTTTGGGGAAGTCTGTGGCTTTCCGTGACGTGGCCTGTTTTTCTCCTCATGTAGATTTTGAAGCCTACTACAGCGATCTCCAAGAAGCCATGCCGCCCAGAGGGAGACAGCCCGCCGACTGTGAGTCTGTGACCATCACCTCTTCCTGGGACTCCGTCCGCATGCCAGTCTAGTCTCTGAAGCCCCTGAGGTCGGGAATTGCCCCTCCGCTCCCCCATAGCACGAGCTCCGAGAGCTCCCAGAGACGCAGGGCACATCTGGCCCGAATCTTCCAGCTCACCCACTGCTACACTTCGGGTCCCCTGTACTCAGAACCCCAGGTAGCCCCACCCCCACAGGCAGGCGCTGCTGCACTCCCATGCCTTGGTCCGCAGGCGGTCGATGCCGAAAATACCCCCTTAGCGCCCTTGCTGGGACGTCACTGTGAAGCGCTGCCTCCTGTCGGTCGGCTTCTGTTTCCTTCCTCCGGGCGTCCCCTTCGTCTTCTGTCGTATCCCTTCCGTCCCGTGACAGCCCGGCGTACTTGTAGTGCTTGAAGCCAGAGCGTGCGATGCTTGCGGCTCTTTCCCTGGCTGTCCTGCTCCAGCTCTCCAAGGATGCGTCCAGGGAGCACGTGGACCCCCATCCCAGATGACCGTGGTGCCTGGAGCCCTGGCCCACAGCGAGTGTGTTCTTGAGTGGACAGATGTGTGGTTGGTGGACGATGTAGCCATGGACAGAAGAGCTGGACGGTTAGGGTGCGGCATGTCCGTGGACAGAGGAGCTGGACGGTCATGGAGGGTTTGCCCGTGGGATCTGCTCCGTGTTTTCGCCGGCCTCCTCCTCTCCTCCTGCTCTCCTCCTCCTCTCCTCCTGCTATCCTCTTCCCCTCCTTCTCCTCCTCCTCTCCTCCTCCTCTCCTCCCACCTCTCCTCCTCCTCTCCTCCGCCTCTCCTCCTCCTCTCCCCCTCCTCCCCCCCCCCTCTCCTCCCCCTCTCCTCCCTCCTCTCCTCCCTCCTCTCCTCCTCCTCTCCTCCTGCTCTCCTCCTCCTCTCCTCCTCCTCTCCTTCTCCTCTCCTCCTCCTCTCCTCCCGCCTCTCCTCCCGCCTCTGTGGTTCGTTAGGCCTGTCTGTGCTCCCTCCTGCGACCACAACCACGTGTAAGCGGCTGGCTGCACGCTCACAGCGGGTGTTCTAATAAGTAACACTGAAGGAAGAGAACTTTATATTCGTAAAATTGCCCCTCCTCATGGTGACTCGCTCAAAACAGGGGTCACGTTCTCACTGCGTCTTCTGTCCGTGACTGCGAGCCTGAGTCTGCTGCTCTCCATGGGGTCCTGCCATGCCACGTGCTGGACCGTGCAGGAGTCCTTCCTCTGTCCCTGCCTCCCTTCCCACCGCCTAGACACACAGCCCGGGTGCTTTCAGGGCACACCCAGACCCCCCTGTCCAGACCTGTCCTGGGTGGCTTTCTGGCACTTCCTCCCCACCTGGTTTCCCTCTTTCCCACCCCCTCCAGCTACATCTCCAACCTCTCTCCAGTGTTCACTCCAGAGCTCATTCTGGCCTCTGTCCGCACCTCGCCTCCCAGGGGACTGCCAGCCGATGGCCCACGGCTCTGAGTCAGTCCCCCCCCCACGCCCTCCCCTACCTGTCTTTGCTCACGGTCACCCGGCTCTGGAGTCCGGGGGTGGCGAGTGTCGTCTGGTTTGCTGGGTTGACTTGTTCCACTGGGCCACTGGCAGCCTGGCCCCTGTCGCTCTGGTGAGCGGCTCTGCAGAGACCAGTTCTGGGCTCAGCGAGCAGGCTGTTTGAGGAGCAGTCGAGGCCGGGGGGGAGGGGGAGGGAACAGGCCGTCATGCCCCCACCGCACGGTGCTGAGGGACGGCTCTGGAGCGTGGGTGCTGCGACACGGGCTCCCAGCAACGCTGGCGCAGTTACGGATGACGTTTCAGATCAGTGGGACTCTGTCCCTGGACCACGTGCTGACTCGCCTTATCTTCCCAGGGGCTGATGCTAGCCTCCTGGGAGCAGGCCCGAGTTCGAGTCCTGATGGAGGCCTTGGGGATGGGGACAACCTGCTGGGCCCTTTGGATACCCTGGCTGCCGCCAGGCCCACCCTCCTGGTGGACTGGCCCAAGTCCCTGGTCAGCCGCGCTCACTTCCACGGCTACACCTCCTCCGGTAGGAGCCCTCCCTTTAGATCCGGGGCTTTGCAGCTGGGTCACAAGGGTTTGGGGACCGGCCCCTCCATTTCTTCCACAATATTTCCTTTCAGTGGAGAAGTCCTTGGGGTCATCATGCCTGTTCTGTCTATGTGTGTCCCTCCATGGCCTGCAGGCGGAGGAGGCTTCTTATGAAAGGCAGAACGTGCCCCTGGGGCCCTCTGGGAGCCGTGCCTGCAAACAGGGTGGTGGTGGGGGGTCCCGCTGAGCTGGTGCCCATGCACGACCCCGAGGCCGGGTACCCCAACACCCGTGTGCACAACAGCCATGTCCTCCTGCCTGGGAACAGTCACCCCACAAAGTGGCCCCGGGTCACTGCTCCTGTGGTACAGCTACCTTCATGCATTCATGATGGGCTTACCTACCGCCTCTTGTGGGGACACTTGGGACCGCACTTCCTCCCCCCGTGGGGGCTCTGGGCCTCCCACTGTCAGGTGGCTGCCTCCTCCCTCTTCACCCCCACATTTTGGGAAATGACAGTTTCCCTGTTGAGACCACCAGCCTGCGTTTCTGGGTCAGCCTCTGCCCGCTGTCACCAATGGGCAACAGTCACACCCAGATTTCAGAAATGGTTCTCCGTTGGTGTCCTTCTAGGTGAAAAACTCACTTTGAAATGCCTTAATCATGCCTTGTGGACAAAGTCATTGTGTCAGTGAGCCAGGTTGGACATGGAAGGCACCACGAGGGGTACAGCGTGAACTACCACCAGCATCCCCTCGTCGCTGGGAGCTGAGTGTGACCCAGGCCTGCCCCCCAGGCCCCTACTCAGGGTCGCTGTCCTCGGCCAAGGGAGGCTGGAGGAGAGCCTCCAGCTCCATAAAGAGGGTGGGTGGCGAACTTCTGGGAGCATTTGCAGGTCAGAGCAAGCACGATCCACAGGAGTAGGGGGAAGCCAGCACAGAGGGGTAGGTCTCCCCGTGCCCTGCAGAGCCCGCTGATGGCCCTTTCCCTGCGGCCCCTTCTCCTCAGGTATCACAGGACGCACGGTGACAATAAAGCCATTCTCACTGAGCCCCGGGGACACCTATGTCCTACAAGCCTCTGTGGGTACGTTAAGCTCAGCCGGCCCTGGAGCGTGGGAGGGTGGGTGTTCCCATGGAATTCAGGTTGTTTCCGGAAGCTGCAGCCACTTCTGACCTCCCGGGCCCTTGTTCCAGAGCGTCCTGACCCTCCTCTCTCCGTCCCCGTGGCCCCGCACTGCTCATTCTCACCTCCTCCTGTGTTTCCAATCCTGACGGGGTCAGGTGGGTGGAGATCACGGCAAAGGCTGAGATGTTGGCCTTTATAAAACCCGAAACGAGGTCTGTCTTTATTTGATTTCCCAAGACAGCTGTGCACGTTGGTCCTTTGCCTGAACTGGCTGATAGCCCAGCGCGAGTGTAAAACCCAGGAGGTGGAGGTGTTTGTGGTGTCTGTCAGCTGCACGTTGACCTGGTGGCCCACTCCACCTCCCTTCTGGCCTTTTCCATGACGCAATCACATCTTCCTTTGGGGGGTGGTTTTGGACCTTCTGCCCCATTTCTAGCGGTTTTCAGTTCCCTGTGACAAGTGCAGGGGATCTGACAGTGCACAGACGGGTTGGGGTCGGAGTCCCCCTGTTTGGGCTACTTGGAACCGGGGTGCATTTCCAGGCTTGTCTCCCACATCGGCCTCCTCTCTTGAGGAACACGAGGCCACTGTCCATGCGAAACCCCTCGGTAGGGCCCGTAGGGTCCCCGAGCTTTGTTCTTGCTCCCCTGTCTCTGCTGACAGCTTTGCAGATGTCTCCCTGTGCCTCCCATGGTGCACTCAGAACCGGGCCCCCAGGCCCCTGTGTTTGGCACAAGACACAATGCTGCTTCTGCTGTCACAAGCTCCGCCCCACAAACCTTTGGCCCTCCCCGCCACTGGTGCCACATTTGTCCAAGTGACGAGCCTGAGGGCCATCTTCTGAGGCAGGTCACACTCCTTCCCGTGGTGGAGACTCTGACCTCTGCACGGGTGGCCCGGGGCGTCCCCGCTCATCGCCCCGCACGTCCAGCAGCAGCACTCGCCCCCGGGCTCCCGCACGCGCCGAGCCCCGGAGCCGCCACTCCCTTCTCTCTGACTTGACCTTGTGCTGGGCTCCATGGCGTGCCCCTCCGTCCTGCACGGCCAGAATCCCACGGAGGGCGGGTCTCGGGCTCCACACGCTGGCAACCCCCGGGCTGTGCTGTGAGGACGTCACCGTGCCGCTGTCTTTCTCTGGGGCTTTCAGCCCTCGTCCTCCCATCTGCAGCTTCCCCGCACCGCGTCCTGGGGAGGGCTCAGCTGTTCGTGACGCTCAATCCGGCTCCTCGGGACGTGGCCTGCCAGGTGCAGCCACATCACGGCCTCGAGGCTCACACAATCTTCGGCGTCTTCTGCATGTCAGGGAGACCGGTACGCTTGGCCGCCCCGAGTCTGTCGCGGGGTCTGGGGGCAGAGGCCGCTCTCAGAGGGGTTGGCCAGCGCTCGGGGGAGATACCGCGGGACGCAAAGCTTCACCCCGGCGGCCGGAGTGCCGTGACGTTGCTCCCCACACTCGGGGACACACCGCCCCATTCCTGTCCTGATCCTGTTCCTTCTCTCAGAGGCCCACCACGTGCATCCCTGGAGGGTCCGATCCTGGCCTTTCTCGGGCCCAAGTGCCCTGCTCCTTTTTTATTATTAAGTTTTATTTATTTTTTTGAAAAAGATTGTATTTATTCATTTGAAAGAGAGAAAGCAAGAAAGAGCACAAACAGAGGAAGAGGTAGAAGCAGACCCCCCCCACCCCATTTGTCAGAGGACTCCCCTTCCCAACGCAGGGGCTCGATCCCAGGCCCCTGAGATCATGACCTGAGCCGAAGGCAGACACTTAACCTTCTGAGCCCCCAAGTGCCCCCGTTGTTAAGTTTTAATTTTAATTCCAGTTGGTCCACATGCAGCGCAGTCTGAGTCTCAGGTGTGCAGCACAGAGACACACTGCCCTGCGTCAGCCGGTGCCCATCGCGGCGGGTGCCGTCCTTCGTCCCATCACCTGCTTCCCCCCCCCTTCCCTCTGGTGACCAGCAGCGTGTTCCCTGCCGTGAAGAGTTTGTCTCTTGGTTTCTCCCTCCCTCTCTCTCTTCACATGCCTGTTCTGACACCGAGAGCTGGAGGGCTGTTTGCATGAGCGCCCCCGCTGCCGCCCCCGCCTGTTGTACCCCTGCACCCTGAGCAGGCCCAGGGGTCGGTGTCTCTGTGGCTTCTGGGAGTTCCCAGGCCAGGGGCACACCCAACCCCGAGTGACAGACGCGGCCACGGTGTGGGGTCCTCTCGGGTCTGGGAGGGGGCCCTGGAGGGGCGATGTCCCACTGTGTGCGTGTACATTCGGGGATGGGAAGTCAGTGGCTGCCCCCGCCTGTCTGTACACGAGCTCTCGGGGTTGGGGGGGCGTGAAGGACACAGCGGCATGTGCTTCCTGGGGATGTAATTCGCGGTTTGCTCATCTATACACTGTTTTTTTGCTCCACATGGAACGGATCCTAGGACTTCCGTTACGAATTTAGTTATCGGATAGGAAATGCCTCCAAACACACTCTGTACCACGGGAGAGACAGCCAGTACTACTCCACACTGCCAGCCGGCGAGCCCTCGGACGATTACAAAGGTAAGTCAGGCTGTGGGTTTGAGGGGCTGGTGTGCTCACTTATGGCTGTAAACCTTTCCCCCGGCTTCTGAACACTAGGACATGTCCAGACTGGGTATCTGGAAAACGAAATTCTTATCTGTTCATCTCAGAAAGTTTCATGCTTTTTAGATTAGGTGGATTACCTACTTTTTATTTACTTAAAGATTTTTATTTATTGGAGAGTGAGAGAGAGTGAACATGAACAGAGGGGAGGGGTAGAGGGGGAAGCAGGCTTCCCGCCGAGCAGAGAGCCCAACATTGGACTTGATCCCAGGACCCTGAGATCGTGACCTGAGCTGAAAGCAGACACTTAAACAACTGAGATCTTACATTACAGTGGAAACATAATGTAAATACCAAAATGCCGAAGCCTACCCAGTATTTATAAATTAACTGTTTGAGACTAAGCTGTGCCTTCCTCACTAAGGAAGTTTGTGGTATCTGGTGAGTCCTGAGTTGGTTGTCAAAGGCACCAACTCGAGGGGCTGCCCCCATGAGGAGGAGGCCGGGGTAAAGGGATACAGGGTTAGCCTGTGTCGTTCTCTGAACAAGACCAGCTCTCCGTGCTGACAACTTCCCAGACCCCAGGAGCCTGCCCGCCCTGAGCCTGTTAGAGACTCAGCCGTTCAGGAACGTGGCTTCACCTGTAGGACCCACGCCGTTGAACAAACCTCCAGGGCCAGGTGGTTCTGCGGTGCAGGCAACTTGGACTCACTGATCTAGAACTTTCTTAGAGCTGGCAAGGTGAGATTATTTCCACCTAAGGTCTGATCTCGCTCATCCATTTGGTTTCCTTAAACCTCGAAGCCCAGCCAGAAAGCTTTCTTTTTCATGAAGCCTTGCCTGACCCCAAGTTGGACACATGCGCACCTGCTCCTGGGTGCAGGTCAGAGACGTGGAGCGGAGGTGTTCCGAGCCGGACGCTGTGCTCCGTGAGGATGGACGCGTCCACTGCGTGTCATGACGAGCACAGCGCGTGTTGGGTGGACGGACGGACAGAGGTGGTGCTTGCTGGCCTGCATCATAAATTCCTCCTCAGTGGAGCTGCAGGTGCCCTCTGTCTCCTGGAAACTTCCCTCCAAATGGATGCTCGCCCCCCAGACCCCCACCTTGCTGGTGCTGGATACGGAGTCCTGCGTTTGGTTCATGCCCAGCAGGACCCTGCCCCAGCTGCCCATCTGCAGGGCCATGTGGGACCCTGTCCACGGGGGCCTGCAGACCACGGGGCCGGGCAGACACCCACATAGGATGGCAGGGGCAAGGCCTCCGCACCGTGTTAGACAAAAGGGTTTCTTACCACGAATTGGTAGAGGCAAACTTAAAGCCACGGTCACCGAGCGGTATCAGGGTGAGTGACATCACTCAAGCCATTCCCAAAGAGTGCACGAGGCCTTACAGTGGTCAACACCGGGACGGTCGACGACTTCCAGAGTCCTACAAGGGTGGAGGCCAGCAGAATAAATAAGGGACAGTGATACTGATCCTGTCCTGTCCGCCTCTTGCTTGAAGGTTCCACAGACTCAGTGTCAGGTTGGAGACTGGTCTGGACTCCGCTGGCTCTCTTGCACTCTCTGCCCTTGTGTTTCGGGCTGAGAAGGCTTTCGCACCCCTGGCACGCCTCTGGTCTGCCTTCTGTGTGGTTCTGTGGCCGGCCCCGCGGCCTCCATGGCAGCATCATCCACATGTCCCCGCCCCGCAAACCCCAGGCCTGCCTCCCAGGCCCGCATCAGTGGTCCCAGCAAAGCCACAACCTGCCATGCTCCCGGGATGGCACACAGACTTGGCTTCTCTTCCTTCCTCTGCACCTGCCCTGTTTCTGGACATCACTGAGGGGCTGCTGAGAATGTGACACCCACCCTTGACCCTCTGTTGCTGGGCATGACTTTCATTCTCTGGTCTCCTGTGGCCCCAGTGTCCCATTCACCAGTGTGGTCCTGCCGCCGTGGGCACAAGGGGCCTGCGGGTCAGACAAGCAAGTGAGTGGGTGGAGCATTGCCCGGCCCCCGGCCTCCAGCACTCAGCGTCCTGCGCCACCGTGTGACACTGGATGTGGGAACGCTGGGCTCGCCGCAAGGGCAGGACAGCCTCGCACTCAGGGTCCACGCCTTGCTGTGTTAGGACGTCAGCACCCTGGGCACATAGGTCCACGCCACAGAAATCCTGGTTCCTAGGGTTTCCTCTCCACCATGACCCTCGTCTGCCATGTTCTCTCCAGTCACAGTGTCCACCGCGATCACAGACAGCGTGGGCTCCCGGGCACCGCCGTGCACCGTGACAGTGACCGTCCTGCCCCGTTTCCACGGGAATCTCTGCCTGGATGAGGACGCGTGAGTAAGCTGCGTGGAGACACTGTCACGCATGCCTATGTCTCCTCGGAAGCAGGGTCTCCCCTAGGCCAGCCACAGGCGGGGGCCCATCTTCTCGGGATGAGCAAAAGAAACAGCCAGGGCTCCGCTATCCTAACTCGGATCCGTGCAGGGTGTGTGCAGGTTCACTGGGGCCTACAAACACGGGGCATCCTGGGCTGCCCTCTCTGCCATTGGTCCCTCAGTTTCAGAGCACTTACATAGACATGCACCTGCTTCCTGAGCCCTAGTGTGGGATCATCTTCTTTGTCCCCTAAACCCGTGGGCTCATTACCTGTCACCTTCCTTCCCCCACAGCCTCAGACAGTCGCTAGCCCACCTCCCGTCCACAGATGGGCTGATGCTGGACATGGATGCAAATAGGGTCACAGCCTATGCTCCTGTGTGCTAGCTGTGGTGTCTTTGAGGTCTGTCACAGCCCTGTTCCCTCCCATCTGCCACGAGCCGCTTGTCCCTTCCTCAGTTGGCAGACAGGGGACGTGTCTCCACTTCAGACTATTAGGGACAATGCTATTAGGAACAGACGTGTGGACATGTGTTTTCATTGTTTTTGGGTATGTACCTAAGGACAGAGCTGCTGGCTCACAGGGTCGTCCTGTGCGTATCATGTGGGGGAGACAGGCAGACTGCTTTCCAGAGTGGCTGCCCCGTTTCCCACGAGCCTCCAGTTTGTCCCTGTCTACAGTGCACTGTACTGTCTCTCTTCTTCATTCTGGCCACCCAGAGCCACTGAAACGGTGTGTGCTGTCCCTCCAGACTTGCGTTTCCCTCGTGGCTAACGGTGGAGAGCGTCTTTTCATGGGCTTGCACATCTGGCTTGGAGAAATGTCTGTTCAGCTCGTTGGTTTAAAAGTTGGGTTTCTCTTTCTGATCAAGCTGGAGGAGCTCTTCACATATTGTGAATGCATGTTCCTGGTCAGAGACGTGATTTGCAAACATTTCTCCCCAGTCGGTGGTTTGTGTCTTCTCTTCCACATGGTGTCCTTTGAAGCACAGAAGTGAGTAATTCTGATGAAATCCAACATACTAATGTTCTCTTTTGTTGCTTGGTGTAGCCATAGGCTTTATTGCTGTGTTTTCTTGTAGAAGATTTTGAGTTGTTGCTCCCACACTGAGCCTATGGCCCACGTGGGGCTGCTGTGTGTGTGGTGTGAGGTAAGGCTCCAAAGTCGGCTCCCATAGGGAGCTGTCCAGCACTTCCAGCACCGTTCAATTGCCTCAGTCGCTTTGTCAAGAGCCGGTTGGCCATAAACGCTGTGGGGTCTCAATTCCGCTCCCTTCTTCTGGTGTGACTTACGTCAGCACCACACTGTCTTCATTAGTATAACTTTGTGGTAAAATCTGACATCGGGAAGCATGAGCCCACTGACTTTGTTCTTCTTTTTCCAGACGGTTATTTTGGATCTCCTGGTTATTATGTGTTGATTCCACAGACAACCCCATGGGATTTTGAGAGGGACTGCACTCAGTGTGTTGATCACTCTAGAATATCGTCGTCTTGAGGATACGGGATCTGATGACCATTGGAAAACGTTTTTCCTTATTTACATTTTAATTTCTTTCAGCCATGTTTTCTAGTTTCCAGTGTACGGGTACTAAATTTTTTGGTTAAGTCTAATTATCAGCATTTTATTCTTTTTATAAATCTATTGTAAATCGAGTTTACAATAAAGCTATTGTAAATCGAGTTGTTTGCTTAAAGTCTGGCTTTGGATTCTTACTGCTCGTGCGTAGATACACAAATGGCGTTTATGTGATTGATCTTGTATCCCACAGCCTTGCCAACCTCATTTACTTGTTCTAGAGTTTCTTAGCGTGCTTTCCGGGGTTCTTCGTGTGGAAGAGCCTGCCTTCTACAGATGGAGTTTTACTCCTTCCTTTCCAGTCTGGATGACGTCCCCCCCGCGGCTTAACTGCCCTGGTGAGACTCTTCCAGCTCAATGGTGACTAAAAGAGCCAAGTGCGTGTATCCTGGTCTTGCTTCTAGTCTAGGCCGGAAGCCGTCTGGCTTCACCATTGAGGGTCACGTTAGCTGTAGCTTCTCCGTACATGTATTTCTTGAGGTTGAAGATGTTCCCTCATATTCCTAGGTTTGAGGTATTTCTATCATGAAAGGGAAATGGATTTTTGTCACTGCTTTGCCACATCTATTGAGATGAGTATGTGGGTTGTCCATTACTGTGGTAATTACCTTGACTGATTTTCCTCCTGGAGTTCCTCTTGCATTCCTGGTATAAACCCCACGTGGCCAAAGTGTGCTGTCGGTGATCATTACATAGCGCACAAGTGCGGTCTGAGTGTGCCCTGGGCTGTGGTTGTGGGTTTGGGTCCTTGCAAACCTCCAGCCCACTGTAGCCACAGTGGTGTCTGGTCTAGCTCTGTCCTCCCTCACTTTCACTCCACTGGGTGACTCTGCCCGTCTCAGTTCTCAGGGGTTTTATGGAATTCTGATGTTCTGCCTCACTGTGTCTTTCCAAGTTCCTCTTACATGGGTGGTCTGTCCTCTGCGCCATCCCCTGTCTGCCCCAACCCACCCACGAAGCTTTCCATAGCAAAATCCCCTCCTCTGCTGGTCGGCAGGCTAGAAAGCTTTGGCGTGTGTTGGAGCAATCCTGGTAACTCTTGGATTTCTTTCAGCTATAACTCCAGCCTGAAGCATCTCTCTACCCTTCAGCTGATGGGCAGCTACACAGAGATCAGGAACTATATCACCATGATGACCAGGGTCCTGACTCGTTGGGCTGCGGAGGACAGAAGTCCCTCATGTGGCCAGTGGTCACAAATACAGGATATGCTGATTTCTTCGGCGTGCAGACTGCCTTTCGCAGATCAGGTGCGGCCTGGAGCAGGGCGGGCTCAGAGCCCGCAGGCCAGCGTCCGCGTGGCAGGGCCCCTGACGGCCTGGCTCACCAGCAGACCGCCTTGCTTAGGAAACACGGTCAAGAAATGAGACCCAGAAGGCTAGACAGTGAGGCCTCTCTCATCTGCTCATACTTGCACAAACAAATGCTGTTGGTTTGTAGAAGTGAGACCATGTGCATCAGGGTCACACAGATTGTTCTGCTCGTTTCTCTAAGTCAAGCGATGTGAGTCCCATCTGACTTGACCTTGCCAACCGTGAAACGGCGGAGTAAATTGTATGATGACTGGCAGCTTCTAAGGACGTGGGCATGTATTCAGTGCCACTGTCCTCGGTCACTGCCACTGCGTGTCTCCGCCTCCTGCCCACCCCTCACCACTAGAGAGCGCTTGCCTCTCACAGTGCGCCTTGTGTCCCTGTGACCCTGATACTCCTATCCATGGTCTTTCTCCCTCCCTGAGATCTTTCACCCTTTTCCAGAATTTCCCTGATCTCTGTCCTCCTTCTCCCTCCCCTCCCCTCTGCTGGCACACTCTGGTCACGCTCCTGCTTGGCTGGTAGAGGCCAGTGAATGCCCAGAGGACATGGGGCCCTAGAAGGCAATGCAGGTCGAGGGGGACAGTCCCTCCACCATGTCTTAGCTCAGAAGCCCGGGCCGCTCTGTCTGAGAGTGCACTGTGGACGATGCAGCTCGGAACTCGTAATTAACTTTGCCCCCCTTTGTGTTTGCTCGTTTCTCCCGGTCAGGAAGAAATGAATGATTCCGTTTCCCTGTTAAGGAACCTCCTGCGCTTCCCTCATAAGGTGAGTGCTGTGTCTTTCCAAGTCTGTTTTCCTGCCTTTTTTTTTTTTCTTTGCATAATTGGGAGGACCTTGATCTGTTCTCAAAGAACCCACAGTGCAGGGTTATGTTTGACACTTAAATTAGAAAGGGGATTTGCTCTGCGAATACCCTTAAATGGCATTGCCCACCCCAAATCACTGGAGAGGAACTTCTTCCCTTATACATACATTAGAAAACCCAAAGTAGAAACAGGCCCTGACAGTATGACCCTTGCGTTAAATGCTTCTGGTAAGGGGACCTTTCTGTTCTTAATCCAAGTGCTGGGGTTTTCCAGCTCACACCTTCTCTGTTGTCAAGTTTTTATTTAGATTCCAGCCAGTTAGCACACAGCGTAATATTAGTCTCAGCTGTACAACGCAGTGGTTCGGAACTTCCCTACGTCACCCGGTGCTCATCACGGCAGGTGCCCTCCTTCCTCCCGTCACCTGCTTCCCCACCCCCCGCTCTGGTGACCAGCAGTGTGTTCCCTGCCCTGAAGAGTCTGTTTCTTGGTTTCTCTCTCTCTCTCCTTTTTTGGGCCCTTTGCTTGTTTGTTTTGTTTCTTAAATTCCACATACGAGTGAAATCATACGGTGTTTGTCTTTCTCTGCCGACTTATTTTGCCCAGCGTGATACTCTCTAGTTCCAGCCGCGTGATTGCCGAGGGTAAGACTTCATTCCTTTTACAGCCGAGTAATATTCCATTGCATAAATGTTCCACATCTTTATCCACTCATCTGTTGACGGACACTGGGCTGTTTGCATGATTTGGCTTTTGTTGCTAATGCTGCCATCAACAGCAGGGGCAGGTGCCCCACTGAACGAGTATTTTTGTATCTTTGGGTAAATACCTCATAGTGTGATTGCTGGGTCATAGGGTAGCTCTGTTTGTAACTTTTCGAGGATCCTCCATACCATTTTCCAGAGCGGCCGCGCCAGCTTGCATTCCCACCAGCAGTGCACGGGGGCTCCCCTTTCTCCACATCCTCGCCAACACCTGCTGTTTCATGATTGTTAATTTCAGCCATTTGGACAGGTGTGAGGTGGTGTCCCATTGTGGCTGTGATCTGCATTTCCCTGTTGATGACCGATGTGGAGCTTCCTCCCATGTGTCTGTCGGCCACCTGGATGTGGAGAAACTTCTGTTTGTGTTTCCTTGGAGCCTGATGGGGAGCTCAATTTCACAACCCTGAGATCATGAGCTGAGCCGAAGCCAGAGTTCGATGCTTGGCCGACTGGGGCAGCCAGGCAACTCTCTTCTGCCCATTTTTTAACTGGATTATTTGTTTTTTGGGTGTTCAGTCTTATAAGTTCTATATAGTTTTTTCCACCTGTTTTCTTCTCAAATCTCTGGTTCCTGCTCTTGAGCTCTTTGTTGCTTTTTCCATTTCTCCCTCTCTGCGGGACGGTCCCCAGATCAGTCAAAATGTCACTTGTTTAAAATCCCCCTGGATGCCCCCCCATTTCCATGCCCCTTGTCTTTCGGGCACTGATGACTAAAGCTACATGTGGGAACGTGTACGCTTCGGTGAGCGTGCCAGGTCCTGTAGTGAGGACGACAGGATGTTCCAGAAAGGTGCTGGTGCAGAGCACTTTGCCTGGTGGGTGTTTGAAATTGGTTTGAAAAGAAGTGGGAAGATTCATGAGTCATCTTGTTCGAGGTGACCGTGGCCTCGTGGGCATGGTCGGAGAAGCCTCTGACTCTTGATTTCAGCTCAGGTCATGATCTCGAGGTCGTGAGATCGAGCCCCGCCTTGGGCTCCGTGCTGAGCGTGGAACATGCTTAAGATTCTCCCTCTGCCTCTGCCCTCCTGCTGGCACGCTCTCCCTCTCGCAAATAAACGAATAAAAAAATCTTAAAAACAAACCCAGGAGTCCAAGGAGGGCTAGAACACCTATTGTGATGAGCAACAGTCCCGGCTGGGAGGGGGTTGTCACAGCACTGTATCTTTCTCTCTGCTTCCGTGTGTGTCTGAAAATGGTCCCTGCTCAGGGTTTAGGGAAAGAGTGCTGTAGGATTTTGCCAGCAGACGCAGGGTAAGGGCATTGCAGGGAGAAGCCTTGGTTCTTTGGGAACCATAAGAGGGTCTGTGTGCTCCAGACACCTGTAGGAGGCGGCAGGGCCCATTTCAAGAAGGGTTTGTGAAGCGGTCGTTGGCTTCAACCAAGTTGCGTCTTAGCATAAACGGCCGGTAGAGACCTTTATATTCTGTGGTCGTTTCATGGGTCAGGAGACCGAAGACCAGAGAAGAAATCGGCACCAATGCCATTGGCCAAGAATCCGCTAGACACCAAATCTGGGCTTGAAGCCCGCCCTCTCGAGCCCTGGTGCTGTTTCTCTCATTTCCAGCAGCGATGGAAGACGCAGGTATGAGGAGACTCTCCCTCCACCTTCCCTTTTCCCGCAGTTAAGTCTTACGAGTGCGGCTGTCATCCTCAAAGCCGCCCGGGCGCTCCGGGCTCAGGGCCTGCTGCTGGGGAAGCTCGCGGTAGACGAGGACACGGTGCGTGAGCTCATCTTGCTCGTGTCCGAGGTCTTGGAAGCATGTGACCGGGAGAAACCGAGGGCTGCGGGCTTCCTGCAAGAAGAGGGGATCGAAGTCATCTCAGATCTCTTGTTGGTAAGCCTGACTTTCTCGCCACGGGCGATGACCATCCCCTCAGGTACCTGCTTCTAGAAACCAAAAATGGGGGGCGCCTGGGTGGCTCAGTGGGTTAAAGCCTCTGCCTTCAGCTCAGGTCATGATCTCAGGGTCCTGGGATCGAGCCCCGCATCAGGCTCTCTGCTCAGCAGGAGGCCTGCTTCTTCCTCTCTCTGCCTGCCTCTCTGCCTACTTGTGACCTCTGTCTGTCAAATGGATAAATAAAATCTTAAAAAAAAAAAAAGTTTAGAAACCAAAAATGGAATTGGTTCCAGAAGTACTGAAGTGATTGTTCTGGGTGGCCGTGCGGTCGTTGAAAATCTGGGGCTTGAACTGCAAGTGTTTCCATGAGCTGTTGCCTCTGCTCCATGCTTCTGCGTTTGGGGACATTTCCTTCTGGGGTGTCTGGGGCGGCGCCAGACTTAGAAGCGGCGTTTCTTAGCACGCTTTCTGCTTCGCGAGGAGCTAAGTGAAGTTATGCAAAGGATTCCTAACATGCGCCAGGGTAGAAAGCAACCCTCTGACACTTGACTGCAGAGAAACCCACCAAAGTTTATTTCAGCAGCACTGACTATGGGAGGTTGGGATTTACTGGGATTTTCCCCCCATAAGAAATGGCCGCTCTTAAGAAGCAGTAAGTTAACAGACAGTCTTCTCTCTCCTATTCTACCCATTTATCCTCCCTCCTGCCCAGCCCTACTGGTTTACCTTACTTTGGGCAATCAGGAAATCAACGCGCTGTCTGAATCTGGTCATAGCAAGTGTGATTAGCAACGATGCGTGTGCGCGCTCACACCTACCGCCTGTCTTTGCTGGCCCCTACGGCGCGGGGCTTCGGCCCCTGCCAAGTGCGCGGGGTGCTCAGCCTCCTTCCGGATGCGCTGAGGAGCCCCGAGAACTAGAACAGAAGTATCACACCTGTCGCAAAGCGAGCAAGATCACAGGACAATGAGTCAAAACCGAAGAAAACGGTTTGCGTTTTATTGCCATTGGGCATTTATATCTTTATACCAAAATGTTTGCTGGGGCCAGTGAATCCCAACCACGCCGAGACGGGCCGCCTTTCCCACTATTTGCTTCCTCGGCCCTGGCTCCGGATGCCAGACGACGCACTCGTTATGCACTGCGAATGTTTGGCTCTCTGTCTCCATTTCAGGATGGCCTCTCTGCGAGCAAAGAGCACCACCTCCACATCAGCGCCGGCCGGATGGAGTTCCGCATGCTCCTCCATCGCGACCTGCAGAGCTGCGTGCAGAGCCTGGGCTCCGTCCGGGTGCATTTACCCGCGGACCTGGCTGGACAGAGTCCTGCAGGGGCGGCAGCGCAGGGCCCGTGCTACGTCAGCCAGCTCGTGCTCTTCAAGCAGAACCCGTTTCCAGGGCGTCCAGCTCCTGGTCAGGTACAATATGGCCAGTGGTGGCCAATGACCAATGACCAACGTGCAGTTGATGACAAAGAAGGGACCATGGTGGTGGGTATCTGGGTGGCTCAGTCCGTTGAACCTCTGCGTTCAGCTCAGGCCATGACCACAGGGTCCTGGGATCAAGCCCCGCATCCTGCTTCCCGCTCAGTGGGGAGTCTGCTTCTCCTCCCTCTGCTTCTCCTCCTGCATGTGCTTTCTCTCTGTCAAATAAATAAATAAAATCTTTTAAAAAATCAAAAAGAAAGGAACCATCTGAAGGACCCTTGGAATGGCAGGGAGCTGGGGCAGGGGGCAGAGCCCTGTGTTTTCTATGTGTTCCACACCCCCAGCCTGGCTCCAGGGCCCGATAATGTCTGACGGATGAAGGCGCCAATTAATGTGGACAGCTTTAGGTGACAAACGCTTGTCTTCCAAAGCATTGACCTTTTATTATTTTGTAGGGAAATAGAAATGGTTAGCCAGCGTAAGAAAACCATTCAGACTAATGGGCAGTAAGGAAATAGAAATGAAAATGATTTTTTTAGCGTGTGGCAGTGCAGGTGTTTAAAGAGACAGGCCTGTGTGGAGGCCGCGAGTAGGCGTCCGGGGTGTGTGCTCCCCGAGCAGTGCTCCCGAGATGCTTCGGACGCCGGACGGCCGCTGCCCTTGCAGGACCCTTCAGGGGAGGCGAGAAGAGAGTTACTCAAAGTGAGATGTGTAGCTTTATTTATTCAAGACAGCAGGATTCATGATAACCCAGATAGAGCCGTACCTGAATGTTCAACGGGGACACAGCCCACTGGGGATTTAAATGATTTACGGTCATCCATATGTAGCCGATTAAAATGACATCAGCCGGGGAATTTGAGTGCCTTTCGAAGATGTTATGTGAAAAATGAAGAACGTGTGCCGTGTGCTGCGTACGTAGTCAGAGCACAGAGACGGTTTCAGACGTGGTGTCCACAGGTGGTTCTCTGAGCCAGCGTGTTCTCTACACCTTTCTGTCCCCTCAGTCTACGATCTGCCACTCTTTCTTTCTGTGTGAGCTTCCCAGCAAACAACAAGACTCCCGGGGCGCCTGGGTGGCCTTTGTTAATCATCCGATTCCTGATTTAGGCTGAGGTCATGATCTCAGGGTCATGGGATCGAGCCCCGTGTCAGGCTCCATACTCAGCGGGGAGTCTGCTCAAGATTCCTTCTCTTCTTCTGCCCCCCCCATTAAAAAAAAACTGTGTTAGGGGCTAAAAATTATCAAGGTAGTGAGAGTAACCATCCAAGAGCAGCACGGCGTCCTCCAATCCTGCATCCTGACCAGCTAAAGGAGCCGCGTTCTTTCCGCGCTGCCTTTACCATCGGGTGCCCAGCAGGACACAGGAGGGGCGTCCCTGCTCACCCCCTGCTCCTCAGTGCTCTCATCTCCGCAGATCGGCCGGGTGATGGCCCCGTCCCTGTTTAGCTGCTCCAGCAGGAAACCCATCCGCAGGTGGCGGCTACGGGAACCCGTGACCGTGGAGTTCGGGGAGGACGATGACATGGTGAGGGGTCCTTCCAGGCCTTCTTGAGTTCACGCAGGCCGTGCCAGCTGGCTTTTCCTGCCTTCGCTGACCTTGCTTCCATTTGGGGACAGGATACCAGGAATAAGGCGACGTTTGTGCTGTTCCAGGATAGAATGAATGTTCATCAGGTCGTCGGGCCTTCCGCAGACGCCCAGGGAGCTCTGCACATAAGGATAGAATTTTCTAGGCCCGCCTCGAGAGCTTTCCCGGTCATGCTGCTGGTAAGGTGTGTTGTGGGGGGGCCGCCACCAGGGCAGCCGGACGGCAGCAAGAACGACAACAGGATTCATAATCGTGAGCACCTCGTGAAAGCCAGGGAGTGAAATGCGCTGTCCACGCAGTCCTGAGGTTCCTGGTCTGATGACATTACGGGACATAGTCACCTGCTTTATTTCCCTGAGATTGGATTCCTGTCCGCGAAGCTTGTCAGAGTAAGAAACACGGGCGTGTCAGTGATAGCACAGGGAGCCTCACTCAGAATCCAGTCCTCCCCCAGTGTAGACCTGGGTCCGAATCCTATTGTTTATTTATTTTAAGAAAAAGATGTGTTCAGACTGATGTGTGGAGGGGACTCAGTAAACGAACCCTCTCTCTCAGCGATGTCGAGTTTGTGAGGCTTGTGCAGGCCCGTTTCATGAACAGATCACAAGGGCGCACTAAGTGAATGGCCACGTGGTTAGGTTTTGGGAATCCTGCGCTGACAGTGCCCGTGGAGGCCACTGGCTCTGAGCTTCGTGGTCCGTGTGGACCGGCCTGGGTTCTGTTGGAGCCTCTCTCCTCCCCTCGGGCCACCTGACAACGCTTCCCTCTGTCCCACTGCCCCGCTCAGGTGGCCCCCAGCCAGGTGGCCTTCTGCAGGGGCACGTCTGCACCGCGTGCACTGTGTCTCCCTGTACTGTTGGCTACACCCTCCTCCTGCCACATGAGCCGAACCCTTCTCTGGAGCAAATGTCTTTTCTCCATTGGATTTTCCCTTCATTCCTTAAGTCACGTGGACAAAGGTCAGTTGGTCCTGACCAGGTTCGCAGGGACTACACTGCGCTCACGGTCCGCCACCTGCCCATTCTGGCCGCTCGCAGGTACCGCGAGTGGGTCACTCTGACCAGTGGGGGCGTCTGCCTTAGCGGCCACCTTCCCAAGCACATGAGGTGGCGCAGTGTTGTTCCCGCAGGCTGCGTGGTGACCCTTCCTGCTCCGTCCTGAAGTTCCTAGTCTGTAATGAGTGAGGAGTGACAGTGTCATGTGGCCCTTGTCGAAAGCCCAGTGATGCCATGGAGTCCCAGCCTGTGTCCTTGTCACCAGCAGGATGTTTGCTCAAAACCCTATGACTGAGGTCTTTGGGAGGAAACAACAAACAGGACTAGACACTGTTGCTTTGTTTTTCCATCCCAGGTTCTCCGAGCAGCCGACTCCTTCTGACTTCCTCGTGAAGAAGGTCTACGTCTGGGACCAGCAGACGGTGCATGTGTATGTACCTGCTGGTCCTCTGAGAGGTCAGTGGGCAAGGCCCCATGATGTTTACGTTTGTTTTTATTTTGTTACGATTTCACTTATTTATTGGAGAGAGAGAGAGTGAGCAGGGAGGGGCATAGCAGGAGGGAGAAAGGCTCCAAGTCAGACTCCACACTGAGAGCAGAGACTGATGCAGGGCTCGATCCCACGACCTGAGCCGATCACGACCCTGGCCGGGACCAAGAGTCAGACGCTCAGCCGACTGCACCGCCCAGGCGCGCCTGGTGCTACAATTTGTAGTTGTTCGCATGATGACATGCGCTGTACGAAGGTGGGCACGGATAGCGGTGTCTTTCCTCACTCGTGGTAGAGACAGGAGGACCCGTCTCGGCACGGCCTGACCGCGGTCAGCTCTGCACCGGCACCTTCCCGGCAGCTCCCCACGGTCCTGCTGCTGTCCTGCATCGCCTCCCTTCCTCACGTCCAACACCCCCCCACCCCGCTGGCCTTCAGCATTCCACTCTGGCCTGTTTGGGGCACCTTCCCCGGTCCCCGAGGTCTCTCTGCTGACTGCTCCTCTGACACCTGTGTCTGCCCCTCCTGTTGGCCGCTCTGCTTCCTGGGGTCAGCAGCTGTGACTCCAGGGCCTTCCTGCAGCCCGCACCAGGGTCTCTGCTCTCCCCGAAGGCAACAAACAGGTAGTGTGCTTTGTGGGGGGGGTCCCAGCAGCATCAACACGCAGGTCCTGCTGATTCTGCGGGCTGTGGTCCTTGCACGGGGACGGCTCCTGGCTCATGCACCTGTCCCCGTCTGCACATTCGTACGGAATGTGACGCTTCCTCTGAGAACCCGTCCCGCTGAGCCCTTCCTTTCTTTTCAAAATGGACAAATCTGTTATCAAACTCAGATTCTCAGTGGCAGTTTATTTCTTTTAAAAGATTTTATTTAGTGGCAGCTGGGGGGCTCAGTGGGTTAAGCCTCTGCCTTCGGCTCAGATCATGATCCCAGGGTCCTGGGATCGAGCCCCGCATCGGGCTCTCTGCTCAGCGGGGAGCTGCTTCCTCCTCTCTCTCTGCCTGCCTCTCTGCCTGCTTGTGATCTCTGTCTGTCAAATAAATAAATAAAATCTGGGGGGGGAGGTTTTATTTATTTATTTGTTGAGGAGAGAGTTCGAGAGTGCACCAGCAGGGAGAGAGGCAGAGGGAGAGAGAATCTTCAAGCTGAGTCTCTACTGAGCAGGGAGCCCGATGTGGGGCTCAGTCCCACGACCCCGGGATCATGACCTGGCCAAAGGCAGATGCTTAACCACTCATTTGTTTCTGTCAGGTTTTACTTTACATTCTTAGGATATGGCATTCCAAGAGTACCAGGTCAAAACTGCTTGGGTTAGTTCTTTTCGGTGTGGACTTCCGCTGTCAGTTTTATGGACTGTTGGGTGTGTTGGTTTTTTTCTAAATATGTTTAACATGAAGGGTCACTGTTCTCCATTTGCTTTTTCTGCTTGTTTGTTTGTTTTCAAGATTTTTTTGTTTGTTTGTTTTTAAGTGATCTCTACCCCCAATATGGTGCTCGAACTCACAACCCTGAGATCTAGAGTCACGTGCCTGACCCCCTGAGCCAGTCAGGTGCCCATGATCTCCTTTTGTTTTTATCTAATTTTTTAAAAAAACTATGTGAGGCATTTCTGTTGTTCAGATGTCTAAGCCTTATTAAAAAGGCCAAAAGGGGCGCCTGGGTGGCTCAGTGGGTTGGGGCCTCTGCCTTCAGCTTGGGTCATGATCCCAGGATCCTGGGATTGAGCCCCGCATCGGGCTCTCTGCTCAGCGGGGAGCCTGCTTCCCTTCCTCTCTCTCTGCCTGCCTCTCTGCCTACTTGTGATCTCTGTCTGTCAAATAAATAAAATCTTTAAAAAATATTTAAAAAATTAAAAAAAAATAAAAGGGCTAAAAAATGTAGCTACCCAGGGACACAGGAAGAGTCTAGGTGCGGTGTTCTGGGGTCGAAGGGCAAACGTGTGTGCAGTTTCTGTAAATGTGGCCAAACTCCACACCCAGCCCGCCCAGTATGAACACAGGGCCTGTTTCCCCACAGCTTCGCCAACAGACTATGTTTTCAAGATTTTGAATTTTACCAGATGGTTACTTGAGAAATGGTAGTTTTAATATGCAATATATGTTGTGATATGAGCATTTCTTCATACACTTAAAGGCCTTACCTCCTTTTTCTTGGTGAGCGGTCTATATACATCCATTTCTGTCTTGAATTTTTATTTTCTTTATTTTTATTTTTCTTTATTTTTTCTTGACTCCTACAGTTTCCAACTTTGTTTGTATTGAGCTATTTTGCTTTGATAAAGCTTTTTTTTAAAATAATGTTTATGAACTTTTTAAAAATTACCCTTAGATTGTGAGTGAGTCCTTGTTAGAAATTCATTCCTTATGCCAGGTTATGAGAGAAGATCATTCACATCTATGATTTCTTTTTGTGTCTGCACAGCCCCGTGAGCTTGCGTTTAGGTCTCTGATTGATGGAGGGCATGAGATGCAGATCTGATTTCCTATTTTTACAAGCAAGTTAGTAGCTACTTGTCCTAACATCGCTTAATAAAAAGTCTTAGGGGCAAGGGGCGCCTGGGTGTCTCGGTCAGTTGAGTGTCCGAGTCTTGGTTTTGGCCCAGGTGATGATCTCAGGGTCGTGGGATCAAGCCCCACGTCGGGCTCTGTGCCCAGCACGGAGTCTGCTGCAGGTTCTCTCTTCCTCTCCTTCTACCCCTCCCCTGCTCTCTCTCAAATAAATAAATACATCTTTTAAAAAATCTTTAAAAAAAAGTCTTAGGGACAAATTTTTTTAAATTTTTTAATAAACATATAATGTGTTTTTATCCCCAGGGGTACAGGTCTGTGAATTGCCAGGTATACACACTTCACAGCACTCACCATAGCACATACCCTCCCCAATGTCCATATCCCCACCCCCCTCCCCCCAGCAACCCTCAGTCTGTTTTTTGAGATTGAGTGTTTTATGGTTTGTCTCTCGGGAGATCCCATCTTCTTTCATTTTTTCTTTTCCTACCCCCCAAGCCCCCCACGTTGCATCTCCACTTCCTCATATCAGGGAGATCATATGATAGTTGTCTTTCTCCGATTGACTTATTTCGCTAAGCGTAATCCCCTCTAGTTCCATCCACGTCGTCGCAAATGGCAAGATTTCATTTCTGTTGATGGCTGCATAGTATTCCATTGTGTATATATACCACTTCTTCTTTATCCATTCGTCTGTTGATGGACATCTAGGTTCTCTCCATAGTTTGGCTGTTGTAGACATTGCTGCTATAAATATTCGGGTGCACGTGCCCCTTCGGAGCACCACGTTTGTATCTTTAGGGTAAATACCCAGTAGTGCAATAGCTGGGTCATAGGGTAGCTCTATTTTCAGTTTTTTGAGGAACCTCCACGCTGTTTTCCAGAGTGACTGCACCAGCCTGCATTCTCTTAGGGACAAATTTTAAATAAATGGAATGTCAAATATTTTTCCTTCTAAACATAAAAAGTTACTCTTAAGTGATAGACTAACAATGCACGGTCACTGTGCTGTCCTCATGGGGACCACGCAGACCCAGGACCGGCAGCCGGCTGACGGGCCATGGAGAAGCAGGAAGGGGCTGTGTGGAGCTGGGGGAGCTGCCTCCGGGGTCCTGTGTCTCCTGGCCAGGGGGTGGCCCGTTCAGGGTGTCCAGAGGATGCTGGCATGTAGGCAAACATATCTCACACTCTGCCAGACCCCATGAAAATTGGCAGTGGCGGGCCTGCCTGGACCCATTTGCCTCGCAGCTTCCGTGCCCTGGGAGAGGCAGTGCCAGAGGGCCTCTCCCCTACCCCACCAGCCTCTCCTCTGCCAACCCTGCCTCCTGCCCCTTGCCCCACTGCCCACTGCTCTGGCCCCCTGGGAATACATTACGTCTTTCTGCAAATTTCAGGTGTGTTTGTTTCTCCCTCTTTAGACACCCACTTGGGATATTTATCCTTACTGGATGCTGACTACGACAGAAGCCCTCTGAACAAACATTTCGCACAGGCAGTGAACTACACGGTGTGTTTCCAGTGGGTGCGGTGCCTCTTCTGGGAAGAGAGGGAGTGGAAATCCGCAGGCTTCTCTCCACGGCCAGGAACATCTCCGGAGAAAGTGAGCTGCAGGTACAGACGTACTGTTGAGGACAAACTGGAGACTTTTAGAAGTTCACTGTACTTTCTTCCACATGGGGCCCGGTACCTGGCCTCCCTGGCCCCCCGGTCTCTGTGAAAACGGCCGCAGTACCTGGTTCATGCGCCCTCCCCGTCTGCAGGCCCGGCTCTCTCCAGGCTGCAGCCTCTCGGAGAGCAGGGTCTGGCTTTCCAGGGCTCTTGTGCCCCCGCTGAGGTGACGGCTCTAGACATCTGTTGAAACGCACTCGTGGGTGGACGGTGGTTCCGCATCTGGTTGGTGGCCACGTGTCTGCCCACAGCGGGGCTGGGCTTACACCCGCTGGGCTCTGGGCTGACCCAGACTGTGCACCATGTGCACACTGAGCCGTCCCATGAGGTTAGAATGACCAGAACCCGTCAGCCTTTCTGCACCTCCTTTAACCCGCATACGTGACGCGGTAGACGCCGCTCTTGGCACACGTTTGGCGTCCTAACCCGCGTCTCCCTCCCAGCTACGACCGCCTCGCGCCGGCGTCTGTGGCGAGAAGAAGCCTGAATGCCACCTTTTCAATGAGTGACGTTTCCAAGTGGCAGAGGTGAGTTCCGTTTTCTAGATCACGGATGCATGAAACCCATGTCACCCGTTACTGTTTTGAGTTTTGGAATCTTCTCTGTCTGTCTGTCCATCCCTACATCCATGGACAGGAGACACAAAGCCCGAGAAAGTCAGCATACGTCCCGTCCAGCTCGGCTTCGGTTCACCGGGGCCCTGGTCAGTGGGCACTCACTGGGACAGTCTCGTCAGCGAGGACACAGTGGTGTGCCCTCCTGCTTTATGCGTTTTCATAACTCCCTCTTCCTCTTCAAAAGTCCCCTTTTAGCTGCTTTTTCTAACTCACGACCCCAGGATCAAGAATCACACACTCTTCTAACTGAGCCAGCCAGGCGCCCCAAAAGTGTCCCAGTTTAGATAGTGGATTTCAACTCAAGCTTGTTTCTGTGGCGCGTGTTTTACACAGAACACGTGTATTTGGATTCTGAACTGTGGGTGAGTAGACGGTGAGCTTGTGCGGGCAGGAGCCCGCTGCCCAGTCACGCATACGGAGCCCCAGCCGGGCTCGGTCACAGCAGACACCGAGTGGGGGTTTGCGGAATGAGTGTCGGTGGCAGGGTCGGCATTTCCTGCAGAGCATTGGGTCTCCCTCATGCTGATATAGCGGGGAACCTTCCACGCTGTGTTACCGAATCAGTCATCAAAGAGCTGATTGCTTTGTAGACCAGCCAGAGGGTCACTGACACCACAGGTGCTGGGGACAGTGAGGCCACCAGGCGTCCAGCGAGTGGGACTCGGGACAGCTGTTTAACTGTGCTTTCAGATATGACTTGAGGGGGGGACAGGCCTTGCGGACAGGTGCATTCTGGGGGACCAGCGTCCCTGTGAAGCACCTGCCCTTGGAAACCCCATCAGAGTCCCGTGAGACTCCAGGTCGGGGTCCTGGCACTAGTGACTCGCAGTGGACCCCACTTTGTGGGTCTGGAGGGGTCTGGCCAGCTCCGGTGCTGGGAGCCGGAGGTGAGGGCCGGGTGCGGTGGGGAGCAGGCAGCCCGACCACGTGGGGCGGGAGGGACGGGCACGTAGGCAGGGTCTCCAAGAGGGAGGGGGTGTCTGATACGCCCACATGAGCACTTTGCGGACATCGTTCTCCTGAGTCTCCACATAAGCAGCAAGATGGCTGTTCTACCACGTTTCACCAAGAAAGGTCCTCGGAGAGCGGCCCTGAGTGGCCGCCCCACACGGGCTTCAGATGCAGAAGCTGGTGTCTCACCAGGCGTCTCTGTCCGAGTCCTTATGCCTGAGTCGGCCTCCAGCGGCTCCTTCCCCTGAGGGACTCAGACCTGTCCCAGCACAGGGACGGCAGAGGCCTCGCAGCCCCTCCACCGTTCCCTGCTTGGTCTCCTGCCCCAGTAAGAATCTACTTTCTCCTCACAGTTACGAGACAGACAAGCATTTACAAATGTATCAGTGGAGACCAGCGTGGGCTTCTCTGTGTGTGTGAGCGTGTGGGTGTGCGTGCATGTGAGCGTGCGTGTGAGTGTGTGGGTGTGCATGCATGCAAGTGTGCGTGCATGTGAGCCAGCATGGGGGGCCATTGGTTAGTCTTTGCCCGAATGTTTATTTCTATAATTCACCACTTGTTCCTCTCCTCTCATTTACAGACGCCCGGAGAACCTGCTTCCCAGCATCTTGATTGTCGTTTTTACTGTGCTCTATGCACTTCTGGTTACTAAAAGCAGACGTGAAGATTTTCAGGAGAAGGAGAAAGCTGGTTACATTTTTCTGCAAGAAGATGCTCCTCCCGGCCATCAGCTGTACGCACTTGTCGTGGACACAGGCTTCCGGTCCCCTGCCCGCTGCACTGCCAAGGTAACTGGGTCATCCTGGCACTCGTACTCTGTGGTATGCAAGGTTGTAGATGGCGTGAGTGACGGCCCCGACACGCCCCACGTGGAGACTGACCTTCCCAGCTGCCCCATCTTCCTCCATCCAGAGTCGGGGGCTCCTTTCCCCCACCGTGCACTCCCTCGTGCCTGCCGATGCAAGCCCTCCTCGCTCACAGGGCCACCCCCCAACCCTCAGCCCCTCCACCTTCTCCATGGAGAGCAGCCAGCACGTCCAGCCCCGTGTGAGGCAGACGGACAGACGAGGGCATGTGGCTACAGCTGGAGCTGGGCATCACAGGGCAGGATGGGAGGAAAAGGGGCCATTCCACAAGATACTGGGGGACCGTGGCTTTTCCTGTGGAAGAAAGCCCTAGTAAACCCCTACTTCACATTACACTCCAAAGCAGCTCCACAGACTGGAGACTTGCAGACTAAAACAAAGTTTAGAAACTTCTCGAAGCAAATGCGTGCTCTGCGATGGGGAAGGATTTTAAAAACTGGAAACAAATAAGGAACTTTCCTAAATGAAAGATTGATCGTGTGTTTCTGGGCCACAGAACCCACCCCGGTGGGGAGTCGTGAACCCCGCACAGCTGGGAAAGTGTGTCTGCAGGCACCTCATCTAGCCCGGTCATGGTCACAGCCCCCAGGAAGGCCCTCAGGCCTTCCCCGTCTCCGTCTGAGCCGAGGGAGGACGACACACCCGCTGTCTGTCCTCTCCCTTCTGAGACCAACACATGCCCTAGGGAATCTGAGTTGCCATCTGGCTCTTCTAGATTAAATACGTAGAAATCTGGCCAGCCTGGCAGGACGGGCGCTCTTTCCCAGGCCTCTCCTGGGGAAGCATGGGATGGGTCATGCAGGGACAGGACTGGGTGTCCCCTTGGTCCCTCAGGCTGGAAGGCTCTGGAAAGGCTGGGGGCTGGCAGGCGATACCCCTTTCTGACTCAGCTTAGTGTTCTGTAACTTAGGATCTCAAACCCCTACTTGTTTTTGTCTTGAGGTTTACATTGTTCTACGTGGTGAGAACGGGTCTTCAGAACCCAGAGAACTCTATTGTCCAGAGAAGCCCCTGTTCGAAAGGAATTCCAGACACACTTTCGTCCTGAGGTGAGCAAGGCCCGTCCCAATGGTGTGGCTCTGTGCACAGACGGTCTTACGAAGTTGTTCACAGTGCTGTTGGACGTAGATTCGTGTGGGAGGGTGTGAGGGGGTGCTAGTTTACACGCTGGGGGTGCTCAGACGGCACGGTGCCCACTCAGCTAATTTGGGAAGAGCAAGGACCCGTGGCCGTGCAAAGACCATAGTGTGGCTGGATGGGGAAGGGTCACTTCCCAGGAATCCAAGTGGTTCAGACAATGGGGAGAAGCTGCACTAAATGCTTTTCTCCTGGAGAACCTCCTGTACAGTCTGTGTCGATCTGGGTCCCGTCTTCACTAAGAAGAGGTGAGCTCCAGACTTGTCCACACCAGACACAGATGCGTGAGGGAGCTGGGGCGGACGGGGCTCTAGGGAGCTGGCGTGCGTGCGGGAGTGGAGCGTGGGATTACTGACCAGCATGGCCAGGGGCCCGCGGGAGCTCCCTGTCCGCGCCCCATGCTCCAGAGGGGCTCCGTGGGTCCTAGCATATGGCTCAACAGGTCCAAGGTGCCTCCGAGGGTGAGAATTGAGGCTGAGGCTGCCCTGCGGGTTGCCCACCACCCAGACCCCGTCCTGACCGTGGCTGCTGTGTGTCCTCAGCGCCCCCGCTCTGCTGGGCCCGCTCCGGGGCATCCGCCTCTGGCACGACAGCTGTGGGCCCTCCCCGGCCTGGTATGTGAGCCACGTCATGGTGGGAGAGCTGGGGCCCGGGCCCAGGAGGAGCTGGCTCTTCCCCGCTGAGTGCTGGCTGGCCGCGAGCAGGGAGGACGGCCGTGTGGAGCGGGAGCTGGGCTGCCTGCGCCGGGGACTCGGCTTCCGGAAGGTAGGTGACCGGCCGGCTGGCTGCGATGCCGGCGCTGCTTCTCCCTGCGGCTGTTTCCCTAAACCGCACTGCAGCTGGCGTCAAGGTGGCCGTGCCGTCAACGGGGCGTCAAGTGGGCCAGCGCGGGCGAGGATGAGTCCCCCTTCAGGCGCTGCTGTGGAGACGTAATAACATTCGCATAATTTACTGTTGCCTGAGGTCTGTGGGGTCCAGAGGGCCACTAGGTAAGGACGGCAGCGCCCTGTGCATCCTGAACCCCAAGATGGCCAGGCAGCCGTACGAGCGTGACCTGGGGGCCAAATGCACGGGATCAAGAGCAAGGACAGGACCAAGAATCTCACCAAACACACATGAGACTCGCTCTACACACGTCCCCGATATTCCAGGAGAGAGTTTGGTCCAGTCAGGATGACACTCAGGCATTTTACACTTAAGGCGAATTGTCCCCGTGACTTTTCTGTAGACTCGTCACTGAAGGGCCGGGTGTTCCAGCTGGACGTGGTGCTTCTCTTTCCTGTAGTCGTAGAAACACCTCGACGGGGACTTTGTGTTCGAGAGCCCAGTTTCGCAGCTGGTCTCAGGCGGGCGGAGGCCAGGGAGGGCTGGTGTCCTCCCATGTCACCAGATCCTTCTTTCCAGCGTGTCCCTGTCGCCACCTGTCATGAGCGAGAGGGCCGGGCTCACCACGTGGGCACTGCTGACAGAGTAAGACAATGACCACGGGCGCGGGCAGTGTGGAAAGTTTTCAGCCCCGCATAGCTGAGGGCCTGGCTCGGCCGGCACCTTCCCTCAGACCAGTGTCTGTGCGCGATCATGATGGACAAAACAGTTGCGCTCATTCTCCAGCTGGTTTGCTTGAGAACTTGTGGGGAGAAGTCTGTACATGTTAGTCCTGAGACCACCTGTTGGCCAGTCCATTGATGAAGATACATTCTTTTTTTCGTTCTAAAGATTTCATTTATCCATTTGAGAGAGAGAGTGAGAGAGAGCATGAGAGGGGAGAGGTAAGAGGGAGAAGCAGACACCCTGGGGAGCTGGGAGCTGATGCGGGACTCAGTCCCGGGACTCTGGGATCATGACCTGAGCCAAAAGCAGTCGCCCCACCGACTGAGCCACATCCTGAAGATATATTCTCATCTTGTTAAACCTGTTTTCCCTGGATTTGCCTCTGTGTTCTAATGCTCGTCGCAGTTTTCCTAGAATAGCGTTAAGCACCGAGCGCTCCTCGGGTTGAACTGAACCTTTTGTACCCAGCGCGATTCTGTAGGTGGCGAGCTGCCCGCCACGTGGCCGACCCCGTAGGGCTGCTGAGGACACCCAGGGCCAGGCACGCTCCCGGACCGCAGTGCACTCAGAGCCCAGTGAAAATCACCTGTGTTGCGGGCAGTGTACTGGGAACGGGGAGGGCTTGTAGACAGAGGCTCCGCGGGGCAGGGCGTGAAGATGCTCGGGGGTGAGACGGGAGAGGCAGAGGGACAGCTTGTCCCAGAGCCGCGGGTGCCCCAGCACAGGTCCAGGGTGCCGAGTGAGGGCCTGGGAGGCCCAGCGATGGGCCGACGAGCTGACAAGCTAGTGGCATCGCCCAGAGAATCACTGCCTGCCCACCCAGAGTTCTCGCCGTTGGTCCAGCATCTCTCTTCTGGTCTGTTTCAGCTCTTGTATTCCAAGTTCACGGAGTATCTGGAGGATTTCCACGTCTGGGCCTCCGTGTACAGCCGGCCATCCCCCAGCGGCTTCCCGCACACCGCGCGCCTCACTGTGGCCTTTGCCTTGCTGTGCGCATACGCCTGTCTTGCCGCCCTGCTCACGGCGGCAGGACCAGAGCAGGTGGGAGGCCCTGGATTCTCCTGGAAGCGGCTTCCGCTTCCCAGACTGGCCATCGACAGGTTCTCAGCCCTGGCATTAGTGAAACTCACAGTCCTGGCAGAAAGGTTCCAAGTCGGGGGAGGGAGCCCGGTGCCTTGAGTGCCACAGAGGGGAGGCTGGCCTGGATGGAGCTAGGGGTGGGGGGCGGGGGCCGACACAGGCCTCCCTCCTTGATCTCTGCCATGAAGAGCTAGCACACTCCTGGAATTTTTTTTTTTCTAAAGTTGGCAGTTATTTCAAATTTGAAAAATTCTCTGGCCAGATAAATCTGTCCAGGCAGCAAGAATTTGAAAGGCAGGGTCCAGCTGGGACAGGAATGGGCCGCGGTCCTGAATTCGCCCTCCCCTCTGGGGTGGACCCTTTGTCTGATCTTCTCTGCTCATGTTGGGGACATAGAATGTATCCGGGACACGGACGCCTTCTCATCAGGTCGTGGCAAGGCCTCAGCCAGGGCCGCAGGAAGCTTGCCCAGCAGGAAGTGGGCACGCAGCACACGTTCATTCAACCCGGAGAGATGTGTATTTTAGAAAAACCGGATTCCTTGCGAGTTTCCATTGTTCCCAAGGACTCAAGGAGACAGGGCTTTGGTTAAACATAGGGTACCCGTTTACGTTAAAGACCTTGGTGACTACAGCGGACGTGTTCCCCGTGTCCTCACTGCTGCCTTCCTACAGCTCCCATGGGCTCTCGGCACCCCCGATGCCACCGCTGGGCCCTTCCAGACAGGGCTCCTGTGCTCGCTGCTGGCTGCTCCCGGGGCACAGCTCCTGTCGCTGCTCCTGAGGCTCAGCCAGGTACGGGGCGGCCCGTCCACATGCCCTGCTGGCCCGGGTCCTCCACACAGTAGCATGCCTGCCCCCAGCAGCCTCCTTCCTTCTGCAGGGAGCCAGCGGGCTGTTCCGTGCACAGCCCTGCCTGCCCCTGAGAAGAGCACCGGCTGAGGCGGCTCAGGGTAAGTGTGTGTTTAGAAAAAGCCTGGAAGGGGTTTCCTGTTTGTTTACAAACCCCAGCGATGGCTAGTGTGAAGTCTCCGTCCTCCATCCTGCGGAGGACACCTCGTGTCTCCCGTTCCCCCGATCCCCATGTTCGCTGCTGTCCACCGCGAGGACAGCGAGCTTTACTCCGTCCGCGTGAAAGCCTCGCAAGGGGCCGTGCAGCCCATGCCCCGCGGGTGGGCCACACTGGCAGCCACGTCCCATGTCTCCCCCCAGGGAGGCCTATTTCCTGAGGGAGGCTGTCTCCCAGAGAACCCTAGATTCTGGCTTTAATGTCATAACTCGGACTTTGTTTAAATCAGGCCCTCATTCCCGCGGGAGGACGGCAGACGCCCACAAGATGCAAGAGGTAAATACAGCTGTGCGTCTCTGTGTCTCTGTGTTTCTCTGTGTCTCTGAGTCTCTGTGTCTCTGCATCTCTGTGTCTCTGTTTCTCTGTGTCTCCCTCGGCCGTGGCCTAGACACGGCTGGTCAGGCCCAGGGCGGTGGGGGGGGACCCCGAGCAGGGCGGATCCTGCGGAGAGATGGGCGTGTTCCGCAGGGAGCTCGAGGCCCACTGTCAGGAGCTGCAGCGGAGGCCATGCGAGAGGGGTGTGGTTGCTGGTTTGTCCTGACGTTTGGGGGACGTGTGGTCCTTGTGCTTTCCAATCTCCGCCTCCCCACTGAGAGCTCCCGCTTGTGCAGGCCTCAGTTCCCTCTGCTCCCCTGTGTGGGGCCACCCCTCTGCCCTGTCACGGTGAGCCTTGCCTGAGCCCTGTGCTGGCTGGTCCGGGTCGGCCTCCCGGAGGGCAGGTGGCATCCAAGTTGGCCGCAGCCATCCCGACCTTGCCTGTGGGCGCCCCGCCACCCTCTACAGATGCGAGTGAGCTGGTCCCAGGATGGCCCGTGCCTCCTTCCCAGAACCTTCCCCAGCCTGAGGCTCGTGGAGGTCACGGCCCAGCTCCTAAGAAAGCTCGCAAGCCATGCCGCGGAGAACACGATGTGGCAAGGGAACTGCGGGCGCCAAGGTGTTAACCTCACCCCGACATTGTCTCTTCCAGGGTCAGGGTCTCTCGGGGCACGCCAGGGCCCACGGGAGGGCAGCAGGTGACCAAAGTGCAGGCTGTCCATGCCCAGAGCGGGGGCCCCGCGGAGCTGACCCCGGCCAGCAGGCTCCGAGGGATTCTCGGAGCATTCTCCATGTGCAAGGTGACGCTGGGTACAATGCTGGGCCCCTTCTGTGTCCTCGGCCCCTGGGTGACACGGGGGTCACCCAGTGGGAGCTGTGTCCAATGAGGCTGGACGCTCTGGTCACATGGACACCAGGCCCGTCTGAAACAGCCGTCGGTTCGGTTCCCAAGTCCTGACCGTTTCTGCTGCATACGCACGTGGGTTTGCTCACGTCTTCAAAAAGGTCAGGAATAGGCTTCAGTTGCTGTGGAGCAGCGTGACTCACGACAGCTTCGGACGAGCCAGTAGCTCAGCAGAGAACCAGTGGGGACGGGGCCCCCAGGGGGCAGCCAAGCCTCCGGTCAGTGCTGTCCAGGGGGCCGTCCGGGGCCTGGCCGGGCAGGTGTGCGTGGCTGCGGGGCCCAGGGCTGCGGGTGCATGAGCAGTGTACTTCCCGGCTCCCTGTCACCCAGGTTCGGGCGCTGACTGTGGACCGTGCTCCATGGACCGTGGTTGGCAAGGTGGCAAGGGCAACAGGAGGCAGCTGGGTGTGGCTGGGCTGACCCTCACAGCACCCCATGCACTGGGATGTGGGGTATAAATCCTCTGGTTTCCGTGTGTGGATGGGACCTGGGACTGGCGGCCTGCAATGCCAGGGCTGGTGGAATGAGGAGGGCACACGCCCTGGGGATGGCACCCCACACCCATGCCCGGCCAGGGTGGGGGGTGGAGGAGCACAAAGGCTCACGCCCCACCAACCGGACATGGGGGAGGTCCTCGAGACAGGATAGCACCTGAGCTTGGGTGTCCCCGTTGTACGTGCAGCAAGTGTCTTTCCTTTCCCCTGCCCAGCGTCCCCTCCCCAGCGGGTGCTCCTGAGTCTGTGTCAGTGGACCGCCTTCTGCCTCCAGACGGGCCCTGGGGGGTCTTCCTATTGGAGCGATCACCTGAGAAAGCAGGGCTCCATGACTTCCTCTTGGAGACGTGAAAACAGGCGGGGACCCTCTGATCATGTGCTCAACCCCAGGGGACTCACCCAGCGGAGCCTGCAAGAGGCCACTGCTGCCACATGGTCCCTCCTCTGCGTGCTGTCCTCCCCTCCCCCTGCTCCTCCCTCCCCCTCCTCTCTGCTCTTGTCCTCTTCCTCCTCCTCCCCCCTTTCTCACCCTTCCTCCTCCTCTCCTCCCCCTTTTCTCTTCCCTCTCCTCCCCACTCCTCCCCCTCCTCCCCCTCAGCTCCTCCCCCTCTTCCCTTGCTCCCCCATTCCCCCTCCTGACTCCCCCACCCCCTGACCCCCCCAACCCTTCCCCTTCCTCCCCGCTCCTCCCTCCGTCTCCTTCACGCGCACAGTGGAAACGCTAACCTGTGGCCCGGATTATGGCATCGGGCTGATGGAGAACGCTGAGTGCGAAAAGCCCTCTGCCCTAAGGACCTGAGGAAGTAAGGCCCCTTTCCATCTAGGCCGGGGAGGGTGGTTGCTACACGCAGCCGTGTCGCTGCTGTGTAGACCTGGCTGCTCTGCGTGAAATTGCGGGTCTGTGGCACTGGGTACAGGGTGTGGGAAGGGCGCGTGTGTACATACACGGAACCGGCTCGCTCGCTCACGGGGGCGGGCAGGTCTGAACGCCCCGTGGTCCACAAGCTGGAGACCCAGGAGCACCAGTGTTTCAGTTCAAGTCCCAAGACAGGAGAAGGCAGGTGTCCTGCTCAAAAGCCCTCGGGCAGGAGGAATTCTCTCTTCCTCTGGAAGGTTGGCCTTTCCTTGTATACCAGCCTTCACCTGATTGGATGAGGCCCACCCACACTGGGCAGGCAGCCCGCTTTCTTCTGTCCAGCCGTTTACATGTTCATCCCTCTAGAAACCCCTCATGGACATGCCCAGAATACCGGTCACCCGATGTCTGCACACCCACGGCCCAGGCCCACTGACAGAATTAACGACCACACTCGGGTGGACGGAAGTGATGAGGTCTCTTACACGTACCTCTTCCTGCTCTCCCTTAGGCCCCGACAGCGGGCTTGGAGGACTCGCTGCTCTCCGGTGGCTGCGGGCGCTGCTGCCTTGGTCAGCATCCGCGGCGTGGGCCGTTTGCGGGATGGTCTCCGTGGCCTGTGGCATAGGGACGGCGTTTCTAGGATACAGGTAACCACTCACGGTTTTCAGATGTCCCTGAGTCTGGACGGGAGAGTCCAAACTTAGCAAAAACCTCCATGTGTTTCTGGTAATGCAACGTGTAGGCCCAGATAGGCTATTGCAATTTTGGTCCTCATTTCTCCCTCCCATGGCCCTGGAGGTGAGGAATTCGTGTACAAACCCAAAAGGCCACTGGCCCTGGCCAGCTCTGGGACAGCAGTCCGGCCTGGACGGAGTCCCAGTGGATGAGAGGCTGGGGAGAAGGGAAGGCCGCTGCAGAGTTCCTGAGACGCTGTGCTCTGGGCCAGGTGTGCTGGTACAGTGATTCCCGTCTGTCCGTCCACGCCGTGGCCTCTCCCGTCTGGTTCCCCAGGCAGATTGGGTCCCCGGCATCCCCGGGACGGTCCAGCGGGGCTCCCGTGGGGCAGGGGGAGCTTCCCTCTCCTCCCACCCCAGCTCCTCCCTTTCTACATGATGATGGCAATGATGGCACGCAAGTTACTTAGAAAACAAACCAACGAAATCCTCTGTGACTCAGTTTGCTCAGCTGGGAAATGGGAAAATTCACAAGGTTTTAGGAGGAGCTACTGAAACCCTCCGTCCTCCCCGCCTGGCACCTGCTCAGTGCTCTGCAGATGCAAACTTTATTGTCATTATTATAACCAACAGCCCCCAACCCCTGCCCCTACCCGCTCCATGCTCTCCACGTCCCTGTGCTGGCTTTTCCTTTCTCTTCCATGCTCAGCAGCTTCACGGGGTTGACGTCCCACCGGACCCCTCCCGACAGAACTTCCCCCGCATCGGGCAGAACGACGGTGGCCAGCTCCACGGCCCCCTCCCCGCGGCAACCCCACTGCCGCCTGCCGCCCGGGCCCTCGGGCGCAATGTCCCCATGCACACGCAGGCGGGCGCTGACGGCTGTTGTCTCTGGGGGGACAGGTTCGACCCGACTCAGTGTGTGCGCTGGCTGCACCTACTGACGGTGTCCGTGCTGTGCTGTGTTTTGGTCACGCAGCCGCTTCTGGTGAGCAGGGGGAGGGGGCCTCCTGGGGGGTCACTGTGCATCAGCGGGGCCTGGGAGTGGGGGAGGGCTCCACGTTCCTGACCCATGATCCCGTGTCTTCGCATTTGACTGAGTGTGAGGAGAACATGGGAGACAGGCCTATGCCGTGCTGCCCACACACACATCCCAGGACGGGGGCCGTCTCTTGAACCCCATTTTCACTCGAGGACACGGAGCCTGGGGAACGGGGGGCCTGGGAATCCCGGGCGGGGACACTAGCTTGTGTAGGATCGTGACTAGGGATGTGGGGCAGCGACCGTGTATGCATCGTCGGGCCTCTCCTTCCAGGTGGGCCTCGCGGCCCTGGGCTTTGCCTGGAGAAGGAGAGACGACGCGCACTTCTTCACCGAGTCCCTGCACGCGGCCACCAGAGACCTGCACTCGGAGCTGGAGGAGCGTGGGAGCTCCCGCACGCCCCACCCTGCCAGCCAGATGGCAGAGGTAAGGCTGCCGTCCGTGCCCCGCCCCAGCCCTGCCCCGCCCATCCGGGCGTACTCTGTGGATTCAAAGTCAATGTGTTTTGGGGTATGATTTAGTTTTTTATGCTCCTTTGTGTGCATAGACACAGTGGGTGAACACAGGATCCGTTTCCTTCCCTCTACCCCATCCCAAAGAAATCAGATCATTGAGAACGTGAGCTTCGTTTAAGCTATTGAGGCCAATGAGAAGGAATGCTTGGCCATAATTTTAGAGAACTTCGAGGTCTGTCAAGGTGCAGCCTTGATGTGGGGCCGGCACCGCACCTCCTGAAAGCAGCACGTCTTTAAGCCAGGAGGACCCGAGGGGATGGCCACTGACTTCTTGAATCCGGGACACCTGAGAGCCCATACTCCCGAGGCATCCAGCCTGTTGTCCTGTCCCCCACAGGACTCAGGATGGTGCATCGGCTGTAAGGGAGGAGGGTCCCAGGCCTAGGGTTCCACATCTGTGACTTCCCAGGACGAAGGGTCCCTGATTCCGTAGGTGTCCCAAGCACCTGACCCAGGCTGTCGTCCAATGGCGCGAGACCGGCTCCTGCACAGTGAGACTGCCCACAGAGCTGGCCTGGGCCAGGAAAGGACTTTGTGAACGGTCCACTGCCCACCAGTGTGGTGTTGGTGACCCACACAAAGTATCCCTCTCCCCAGCCCCAGGAGGCACGGACAGCGCTGCTGCTCCCTGGGCTTGGCAGGAGTGCCGGAGCTCCCCGCCCTCACCCTACCCCCGTCCGTGGCCCCAGCTCACAGCCCTGTCGTCCCCACAGATGCTGGCCGCCCGACAGCGAGCTCGCCGCCTACGCTGGGCACGTCCGCCGTCCGTGGCCCAGCTCAGTGCCGTCAGGGAGAGGACGAGAAGAGAGACCCGGACACGAGTGGCCCTGAGGTGGGTGGCGGCCAGCCGGGCCTTGCTCTGCTCCCACAGCCCCTGGGGGCAGGGTGTACAGGTGGGGCCCAGCTGCAGGGGAGGGGCACCTAGGGAAAGTGGGTCCAGAGACAGCAGGTCTGGAGCGAGGCTTAAGGCACTCCTGCACATGCCGGACCGAAAAGTCTGGAAAATCCTACAGAAATGAAAACAAGAAAAGCAGACAGGAAGTACCATGTTGTGACACTAAAATGCAAAACCCAGTGTCCTTCATGCACACAGTGCAAGCCAGTAGAGGATTTGACAGAAGTCTCTACCGCGGCCAAGGAATAAAATACCACAAACACACACGGGCATCACCGCGAGAGGAAATGCCCACGAGTTCCACAGGAAAGCGCCCGCGGTCCTGCAACGCACAAATGTCCCGTGAACATCGCGTCTTCTCCAGCTCTGTCCAAATCCGTGTCTGCCTTCAACACAGTCCCCACCAAAGACCTCGAGACCTTTCTTTCCTTCCTTCCCCTTCTCCTTGACCGGATCTGGTCGGTTGCCAGTCCCTTGGGCCGGCCGCGGGGAGCCGAGGAGGGGAGCGGTGGGGGCTCTCTCTGCCAGCCGTGACCGGAGCCCAGGCCCCCACCGCAGAGCGTGGCTCTGCGCGCAGACAGCGGACAGCCCCGGAGACGCGGGTCGGAAATCCAGAACCAGACCTGAGTACAAGGGCCACAGCACACGAGTGTGTGACGCAGGGGCTATCCCGGCTCTTTGGGGAGAAGATGGGGTTTTTAATGAGGAATAACTGAACGGTCGTGAGGGAGGGGAGTGTAAAAACATGAACAAGTGGATGCTTCTGTCCCAGTGTACACAAACTCATTCCCCACGAATAAAGATTTAAACGTGACAAAACCATACACGTCCTGGGAGAACGTGCGTGTCCGTGTATGACCTGTGGGCGAGGAAAACCTCCTGTGACTTAGAATCCAGAAGGGACAAGAGAAAGCAGATGTGGTGACATGAAACTTGCAGAAGAAAATCTCGTGCGACGAGATTGATGACGTCATGCGTTATGTAGAAAAGCAGTGGCGGACGAGGAAGGATATTTGTAGCAGACGAAGGCTTAATCTTCAAATACAAAGAGGCTCCAGAAAAATGCAGAAGACCAATAAGCTCTTTAGAACAAAACCAGGCCCAGGACGCGGACCGCTCACTGAGAAGAGGAAGGCGGACGTCTCTTGCACGTAGGATGCGAGATGGCCAGTTAAAGTACCGAAGTCTGGAAGCTGGTCCCCGTGCAGCAGCTGGTGAGCCTGTAGAGACGGGACACCACATGGTGCTGGTGCGGATGCAGCTGGTCCCACCATGGGGACTGGGAGGCGCCTCGCAGAGGCACAGACGCACGGAGCTCCCCCAGCACCCCTGCTGCAGGGAGCCCATCAGCAGGACCCGGGAAGAGCCAGGTGCAAGGCAGGCGGGGCAGGACCCCCTATAATAACCTTGGGGGGCCCAGGGGGCTCTGATGGTGGAGCGTCCGACTCTGGATTTCAGCCCAGCTTGTGATCTCAGGGCCCTGGGATCGAGCCCGTGTCGGGGTCCACGTTCAGCGGGGAGTCTGCTTCTCCCTCTCCCTCTGCCTCCCCCTGCTTTGCGTGCGCTCTCTCGCTGTCAAACACATAAATAAATAAATAAATAAATAAACGAGATCTTTAAAAGGAAAAGAGGGAGAGAGGAAGAACTGTATATTATGTGTGTCCTGACGGAAACGGATCACCAAGAATGTAACCTACCCCGAACAGGCTGGTCTTAGTGTGACCACGTTCTTGTCCCAGCGTGTGGTGGACCAGAGAGCACACACTGTGTCCTTAGGAGGCAGGGCACAGAGAGGAAGGACAGCAGTTATCTCCACAAATAAGCCCCGAGACCCAGTAGAGGTGGAAGTGCTGCCTTTGGGGTAAAGGAGACGCGGGAAGGAAGCAGTGAGTCGGGTTCACGGTGCGACAGACGAGTAAGAAAACTGCGCTCATCTCAACAGATGGGGAAGAAACCATTTGGCAAAATTCAACACCCATTTACGGGGAAGAAAAATATCTCAGCAAACTGGGAATGGGAGAGAAATGCCCTCAAGTCACAAAGGGTGTCTGTGAAACCCTTTCACAGGGTTTCGTACGCCTGGCCTCGCGCCCGTGACGAGACAGCGTGTGCTTTTAAATATCAGGAACAAGGTGAGGAGCTCCCTGTGTCGGACTCTGATTAAACGTCACGTCGGAGGGCCGGCCGCTGCCAGAGGCAAGAAACACACGACAGCCTCTTGCAAGAGGACATGAATAGTCTCTGCAGAAAATCTCAAATATTCTAAGTAAATTGAAGAAAACGTGCAGAATTGATATGTCAAAAACCACAAGACACTAATGGACGATCTCAGAGAAAAGCTAAAGAAATGGAGACACACGTCCCATGCGCTGGGACACTTGTCTCAAGGTGCCCGTTCCTCCCGACTTGATCCGTCCCAACCAAAGCCCCACAAACTTTTCTGTAGCTGTTGGCGAGCTAATCCGAAAACTTACATGGAAAAGAACCAGAATAACCCAAACGATTCTGGAAAAAGAACAACAAAGCCAAGGGCTGACTCTGCGTGGCTTTAGGGCTCACTACGAAGCCAAGCCACGGTAACCGAGACGCCGGTATTGGTGGTCGGTCAGCGCACACGTGCTCGGCTCATTTCCTGACAGGACACCGAGGCCCTTCGCAGTGGACAACGGATTTTAAAAATGGTGCTGGGGAAATTGGATGGCGACATGCAGAAGAAAATGCACACAGTTCACACCTTCTAGGAAAATTCACCCGGGGACTTAAAAGGATTTAAAAGCCCAGTTCCGAAACCTGCTTTGCTGGGTCTGGACCCCAGGGTCGGTGTGGGTGCTCACTGTGTGATGTGTTTCTCGTAGAGACACCTGCCTGTGCTCCCTCATGCTCCTTCTGCGCGCGCTTATACTCTCTGGGCAGTGCTCCCAGGACCAACGTTCTCTCGGTCAAGCCATCCGGAGTGAGTTTACGAGGTAGGAAGTGTTGTCCACCTTCTCCAGACCCCCGGCCACTGCACCAGCTGTTCGTGGCCAGCACACGCTGACGAGGGACCCAGAGGCCAGGGTTTCGGGGTGAGGGTTACTTCGTTATTTTGAACCAGTCGTGTCTATCTGCTACTACAGTCTGTCCGGGAAGAAGGGGACCCCCAGACCATCGAGTGCTCGCCCTCAGGACGTTTTAATTCTGCAAAACAGAGGCTCAGGGAAGGCACTTGGCCACTGTCCCAGAGAGGAAATATGGAAAAAGTGGTCAAATTGCCTTGGGCACTGTTTCCCCTCTGTTCGTGGGAGGCCTCTATTTCCAGACTTTGGGCACGTTCAAAGCATCTCATTTTGGTAATAGTGAAATGATATTTCGAGGCACGTTAGGGTCTGGGTGCGAAGACGCTAAGACAGGTTAGGGGGGTTGCTTTTGTGTGGAGGTTACAAGTTCCTCGACCAAAGACTTGTGATTCACAAGAAATGACACACGATTTCGAGTGGTGATAATTCCCCTCGAGTTCTCTACCGCTTCTCAAGTGATCATTTGTTTCTTCCTACTTTAAAAGCAGTAGATGCTGGGATGCCCGGGGGGCTCCGTGGGGTAAGCATCTGCCTTCAGCTCAGGTCACGATCCCAGGGTCCAGGGATGGAGCCCCGCGTCGGGCTCCCTGCTCGGTGGGAAGGCTGCTTCTCCCTCTGCTCCTCCCACGACTCGTGCTCCCTCTCACTCTCTCTCAAATAAAATAAAATCTTAAAAATTAAATAAATAAAAGTAGCAGAGGTTCGTTGTAGGTAAATATGGAAGGACTGAAAAATAGCAAGCAGAAAACCCTCAAGGACAGTCCCACCCAGAAGCAACCACGAGCAGCACTTTGCAGTGCCAGAATTTTCTCCACGTTTCAGCCTTTCTGAAATTGGGACAGGAAGCACATCAAGGTGGACCCTTCAGGTGGCATTTTTTTTTTTTTACAGTTGTTACTAAATGACTTTGTTTCACCTGTCAAAAATATTCAGTCTGATAGTTCTTTCAAGGACGTTTGGCTTTGAATTCTGAAGGGCATGACACGAACCCATAAGGATTCTTTACTACCGTTTAGGAGGTGGAAGTAAAACACGGTATTCCAAGATTTACTTTCTCTTTCTCTGGAGAAGATTTTATTTTATTTTATTTTTTAAAGATTTTATTATTCTGAGAGAGAGAGAGAGAGAGAGCGCGCGCGCGCATGTGTGCACTAGCAGGCAGAGCAGCAGAGGCAGAGGGAGAAGCAGGCTCCACTGGGCAGGGAGCCCCACACAGGGCTCGATCCCCCAGCCCGGAGATCATGACCTGAGCCAAAGTCACACACTTAACCCACTGAGCCACCCAGGCATCTCTAGGAAGAATATTTTAAAACACATTACTGCATTTTTTCCTATGGGTATGTTGCCCTTGACTAAGTAATTCAATTTGATGCACGTCAGTTCTGCTGCTTTGGGGGGGACAGAGGTGGGTGGCTGGCACCTCTGTTTGGTTTTATCTACTACTTAAGGGTGTATTGTTTTCTTCTGTGAGAGCTAGTGATTGATACCGCCCAGATGCCGGGCGAGCAAAGTAGGGATAGAAACCACTAGTGGACGCCCGGGTTCGTGAGTCTGGACACTCTGTAGGACACAGCAAGGCACCTGCTTGCAGGTGAACACTGTAGCCACGAAACTGCCTTTCTTCGTGCAGAAACTGCTGCTGTTTGCATGAAGGACCGGGGTTCAGCCAGCTCTCCCGCCGCCCCCTTCCTCCAAGGCACAGCTCGTGCCGGCAGGGGGCGCCATGCGCAAAGCAGAGTGACCGCGTGGCCGCCCCTGGAAAGGGAAAGGCAAACCTGAGCTCTTTCTGGCTTCAATCGTTTACTTTTGATTTCATGAGTCAGCACTACTTGACATATTTTTCATGCAAATTGTTGCCCCTTGGTACTCAGATCAGAAATGCCCCGCAGCCGAGATAATATTTGTGCAACGGTCCCCCCCCGGCCGAGCCGTACACACCTTGGAGGCACCGCTCAGCACTGGCCCCGGGTGTCACGGACCCATATTTCCTGCACGATGCAAAATCCTACTACCTCTGGTGGGCTGGCCACCAGGCAGGGACATCTGTGTCCCAGTTGGTACTGGGATGCTCAGGGGGACCCTCTCCACCACCCTCGCCCCTCCCGGTACCTGATCCTGAAACATTGACAGCGTCTCAAGGCTTGGAGTTTGCCGGATTCCAGGAAGAACCAAGCTCAGCTGGATCACGTCTGACTCAGGGCCCGGGCTCTGTCGTGCTCTGTTCTGCGAGCAGGTGCCCGCGGCAAGTCCTCCGACTCGGGGCTGAGTGACCCCGTCCATAAGGCGAGGCCGTTGGGCTGCTAGATTCCTCAGGTCTTCACCAGAACTATGATCGTGATGTTCCATTCCGTCATAGTCGAGTTTTCTTTGAAGCCTTTCTGGACTCAGTCAAGTCTTCATGCAAGTCCAAGTAAAACAGAAACAAACCAGCGTATAAAGCCCTGATAAATGGGATAGTCTCTCTGTCCAAGAGCTATGAGTGGGAGAGAACTACTGACTTCAGTTTCACAACGTTTCATGTGTTCTGTAGGCCTGTTTTATTTAATAGCTAATTAATGCGGAGTGAGAACATTCTTGCACGGTTTGGCTCACTCGCTGCTCTCCGCATGTGTTGAGAATGAGGCATGAGTTGTGCACAGTCTGGGCGTGTGACAGCTGTCTCTGATCACATGCAGGTCTTTTCATTTTTTTTCCTTAAAATTTTTCTTTATCTATTTTAGAGATATAGAGAGAGAATGCTTGGTAGGTAGGAGAGGAGCAGAGGGAGAGAGACAAGCAAACTCTGCTGAGGGCAGATGTGGGGCTTGATCCCAGGACCCTGAGATCATGACCTGAGCTGAAATCAAGAGTCAATGCTCAACTGATTGAGTCCCCAAGGTGCCCCCACATCTAGGTCTTTCTTGAAACCTGTTTCTTTAATGTCATCCCAATGGGGAGCGGATGTCAGGAAGTGATAGCAGTCCCTCCAAACTGTGGTTCTACTAGGGTTTCGATCCGTGAGCGGAGCTGATAACCAGCACCGTATAAAGGTTCAGCTTGGATTAGGCTCAGAAAGTGGATGAACCAAGGAAAGATAGAAGTCAGGCGTGGGTGAGTCTGTAAGAAGGAGATGGAAGCAGTAAGATACGCTGGCTCACCAGACTTACTTCCACACGCCACGGACGTGTTTGAACATATTTATGGCACACGCGAGTGTTGGTTGAGATCATTTGCTTCTTTGTTAATCTATGCACCAGTGACATAGCGCTAACATGTCACTAACAGGACACTTCTTCCTCTCGGATCTCTTTCCCTTTTATATTGTCCAGTTTCTGTCATGACTGTCAGTTTTTTGTTTTGTTTTGTTTTTAAAGATTTATTCATTTATTTGTTTGACAGAGAGAGAGATCACAAGTAGGCAGAGAGGCAGGCAGAGAGAGGGGGGAAACAGGCTCCCCGTAGAGCAGAGAGCCTGATGCAGGGCTTGATCCCAGGACCCTGAGACCATGACCTGAGCAGAAGACAGAGGCTTTAACCCACAGAGCCACCCAGGTACCCCATGACTGTCAGGTTTTAAAGCACTTCCTAAGGGTCTCTAAAATCTGCCTCCATCAGCAACATAGTAACTCCCAGTCCCTCTCTGGGACAGTCTCTGAGCTGCGGTGGTAAGTGGAACGCGGGCTCTGGGGAGCGACAGTCCCCAGCTGTCACACCTTCCCACCATGGTCCGCTCCATGCTACGGCCACAGCCACTGGGTGTGGAGCTGGGGGGATGGGCTGCAGCCGACTTAGGAGCCGCGCGATGGCCCGCCTTGCACTCACATCTGTTTAATGACAGCAGACTGGCGTTTGAAGAGCTCGTCATCACTGTGTTCTTTAGGGTGGGGTCGAGATTTGGTGGCTGGATGAGGCAGGATGATGAAAATTGTGTCCTTGGATGGCTGGGGTTTAGATCTTCTCCGAACTTGTCACAGCTTTCCTGCAATATGACTTGGGGGAGCAGAGGACTTCCCAGGGTCCCATGGTACCTCCTACTGCTCACGGCTCTGCCTTCACGCCCGCAGGTGCTTCTGACTCGTGAGAGAAAGATCACTTGTTGTCTCTGCTCTCGTGTTCAGGGGAGCCGGGAGCGCCTCCGGAGGCCTGAGAAATGTGGGGGACTGGTGGGGCTGGAGTCTGACCACGCTGCTGGACGGCCTGCACGGGGCAGGCGCCCCCACCGCCGGCCCGCCGGGCGCTCAGGTGGGCTTCCATCCGCTCTCCGCACGGGTCCTGGCGTCAGTGGGCCATGGTGGGGCAGGGATGCCGGGATGCTGGACCGGCAACGCCACATGCGCTCTCTCCAAGATGGATCGATTGATTTGAGAGAGACAGAGAGAAAGAGCACGAGCCAGGGGAGGGGCAGAGCAGGAGGAGAGAAGTAGACTTCCCTGCTGAGCTCAGAGCCCGACACGTGGGGCTCGACCTCATGACCCTGACATCACGACCTGAGCCGATACCCAAGAGTTGGACATGCCACCAACTGTGCCCCCAAGCGCCCCACTGCGTGTACTCCTGAATGGCCGGGAGGCAGTGGGCCAGCGGCTGCCTCCCGCTGCTTCCCCGTCCCCGCACACCCGCCTCCGCTGCATGTGCATGCCCAGACACCAGCAGGTGCCCGGGCGCGCGGGACGAAAGGGCATGGCCAGTGGGGACAGAGGGCTAGATCACTATGCAAAACGCTGTGACACGGGGCACAGGGCACCCCAGGACAGGGGGAGCATCCAGGAAACAGCCAGGAGACAGGAGAATGTCCCCAGATTCTGAGAAAAATTGCCAAGGAATCTGCATTTCATAGAATGACCCAATTCCCTGCTTATTTTTCATTTCCTTCCTTGTTTTAAAAAAAATAAAATGACTTTGTGTTGCATTCCTCAAACACCACACAGTCGACCCTTGAAGAGCATGGGGTTCGCGGTCCCCCTCCGCCCCGGCAGTCGAAATTCCACGTGTCACTTTTCACTCCCCCAGAGCTGAGCTCGAACCAGCCGACCGTGGGCCACGAGCCTCCCCAAGTGCCCAGTCGACAAGCACGTGTTTTGTGTGTCAGTTGCGTCCTACGCTGTGTTCTTACAAGAAAGCCGGAGACGAGAAAATGTCATTAAGAGAATCCCAACGGGGAGAAAAGGCACCTACAGTGCCTTCCTATCTTTCTCGAGAGACGTGCACATTTCTGTGGATCTGTGCCGCACAAACCCATGTTCAGGGTCCGTGGTCCTTCTGATCCCACTTTCGTTCCCTGGCCCTTCTGATGCCACTTCCGTTGTGGCGTGCGGTCGCGTGCACTAGCGCCCGACACACTCTAGAAAAAGACACAAAGTGACGCTTCAGGTTCGGTCCAGAGAGTGTGAGGAAGCCGTGTCCTCCTCACGCTGCTCTTCAATGCGGTGCGGGGTTTGTAGCGGGGCAGGGGGACCGTCCTGACGTCTGAGCTGGAGGCAGGGGCTGTCCCAGCACAGTAGGCGGCACGTTCCAGCTGCGCGGTCTGTCCAGCGGTCTCGCGTGTCCCTTTCTCCTCCAGCCGGGAGCCCTTGGCGGGAAGTGCTACGTGCTGGGCGCCGTGCTGATCCGGCAGTGGAGGGAGGCTCCCGGCGACGCGGGCGAGGTACGCCGCTCCCCGCCCAGCTCTGTGCGGGTGCGTTTCCCCTGGGGCTCACCCTGTGTGTGTCTCGCCCCATGTGTACTTCTACTGAAGCAGAGTGGACACACCTGGTTACATAAGTCTCAGGTGTGTCACCTGCTGCTCACCACGTCCCCATCCTCAGTCCCCATTGCCGGTGTCCCTGACCCCCCGCCCACCGCCCTGCTGGCGACCACAGTTTGTTCTCTGTGAAATACAGTTAGAGTTAGATAACCTTAGACACATCAGGTGGGAAGGCCGCAGACCACCAGAACCCTCCCAGGACCCTGGCTGTGACTTAAAATCCTCAGTGGCCGGGATCCAGGACAGCCAAACCTTTCCTGCGCCCTCTGCCGGTCCTGGCACGCTGTGGGAAACCAGGACATCTCTATCTAAAATCCCGAAAATACTCCCTACCAGGATTCTCATATCTCCTCCTGGGTGGGAGGGGCCGCTGGAGGGCGGGCATCTCGCCCTCGTCCTACGGAGACGGAGCCCTTCTGACGTCCAAGCCTGGACAGGTATACAGCTCGGGTGCTGGCTGGAGCCCTGATCCTTTGGGCTCGGCTGGAGCTCAGGGACAATGAGGGGGCTTTGAGGGAGCAGGGGCCGCGTGTGGCCAGCCTCGACCCCCCAGGCCACAGGCTGACTCTGAAGCGAGCATCTGCTTCTACCTCTGACTGGTGGTCTCTCCTTCAGCCTCCCAGCCCAGCTTCAGTGCTCACAGAGGACTGTCCTCCTCCACGTGGCCCCAAAGCTGGGGGCCCCCACGCCCCCTCCGTGACAGATCCTGCCACCCAAAGAGTGGCCCCAAGCGGCCCTGGAAACTGTGGGGCCAGGGATCCCTGGGTGCTCAGCCTGGGCCGCACCAGGTCAGTGGGATTCAGAGGTCGGCTCCGTCCGGCCTGCCAGTCCCTGGCTCCGTGTGCGGCAGCAGCACACCCTTCCCAGGGCAAGGGCAGGTGTGTTCTCACCGGAGAGGAGGGGAGTGAGGCCCAGCGCAGGGGGGCTATGTCGGAAGGTCAATGCCGGCAGAGGGCTTCAGTCTCTGAGCACAGGAAGGAACAAGCCGAACGTTCCTCTAGAGTTTGCCTGAGGCCTAGAGGTCAGGGGACCTAAAGGACACTTGTGCCCGCTGGCTTGGTGCTGAGCAGGGTGCTCACGGGGCCTCCTGGTGCTCTTGGGCTCCACGAGGGAGGGCAGCCCCACTCGGTCCCGCGCTGTGCCGACGAGCCCTGAGCTGCAGCTACAGTCCCTGGTGGGTGGCCTGGCCCTGGCAGCTGTGGCAGTGCACGACCTGTGTGGGGGTGGACTGGGTTAGGGTGACAGGGGCCCTGCAGCAGGTGACGGGTGCCCCCAAGTGAAGCCGGCAACACAGGAGCGAGACCCGTTCACTGTTACCAAACACAGGTCAACGGGAACTCCTTTCCAACACCACAGTGCGTCCACAGCAGGAAAAGACACAAGAAGGTTCTAGAGGCCTCACAGACAGAGATGGTCACGTCTCCCCGAGTCGTGCCCATGACAGATGGAGGGCCTCCCTCCTGGGGGCGCCCCAGCCTCAGGGTCCTGGGCAAGGATGGGGGATGCACCCATGTGCGTCTGTCCAGCCCCAGGAACCCGGGCAGCCTCAGGGGCCTGGGGTGCGAGGCTGGGGGCGGGGGCTCCGTGCAGGCCTTGCCCCGACCTGCTGCACTTGGCAGGCCGGCAGCGCACGCAGCCCTGAGCGGCCTCCGGGCCCGCCGGTGGCTCGACCGCAGCACCAGAGCCGTGTCCGTGTGCTTCACTCTCTACAACCCTCCCACTCGGCTCCTGTCCAGCGTGTCCCTGCGCACCGAGCTGCTGCCCACGGGGGACCTGGCCCTGTCCCCGCTGGTGCAGTCGCTGGCTGTCTTCGGCAGTGACTCGGCCCTGTGGTCCAGCCCCACGCTTCCCGAGGTGGGTCCTCCCGCCCCTCCCCTGCATGCGGATCCCGGGGCTCCCCTGCGGCCTGCCCCCCACCTCCACCTGGACCCGCAAGGACGCAGAGCCTGGCACTCAGTACCATCAGCCTCTCTCTGTTCCAACCTGAACTTGGGCCCAGGCCAGCACTGCTCCCCAGAGGGACAGCAGCGTCCTGAAAAGCGGCTTTATTAGCCTCTAAGTGTCAGCTGGGAGGGTCCAGGGGAGCCAAGCAGGGCTGACCTGCCCCAACCCTCACTGAGCTTCTCGCTGCTGGCGCTGAGCACAGGCAAGCAGGAACGCGTGGCTCGGCGAGGCCCAGAGACGCGTTAGAGCTTCGGGGAAGTCCCGACGCGGGAGCTCGGCGCGGCCAGGGAGCCCATGATGTGTTTGACGAATGGGGGAAACGTCATTCTCTGGAGCGGCTGAGGACGGGCGGGGAGGACCCTGCGGGGTGGCGCTCAGGGTCTGCCTGCGCACGAGGCCTGCGGCGAGCCCACCCGCATCCCTCACGCCTGGCCCGGGAACGGGCGGGTGGCTCTGCGGGAGCAGGTGTCCGGGGCGGGGGCGGGGGGCAGGCTTAGCGCCCGCGCCCTGCAGAGCCGGACGGGTTCGTGCTGCGTCTCCGCAGGAGGGGCCGGGCGGGGAGGCAGCGGGAGTTGGGGGCTCGGGAAAGCACGGGCGCTCTGGGTCCTTCGGGGTGCTCTGCGGTCGTTCCCTCCACCAGCTGGCCTTCCTGCCGCTCAGCCTGACTCACGTCTGCTTGCAAGTCTGCAGCCTGGCCGAGGACGGCGGCCGCAGATACTGGCGCAAACCAGGGAACTGGCTGGAGGTAGCCACTGCCGTCCTCTGCCGTGAGGAAAGCAGGGACAGCCACGTCCCCACCTGTACACGATCCTGCTTATGCCCTGGCTGACCCCAGCCGTCTTGCTGTCTCCCCTGCGGTCGTGTTTGTGGCCAACAGCGCGAGATCAGTGTCCCCTCCCTGCTTGTACCCTGATGTTGCACCCTGAGCCGTGGGGGGGCCACCGTGGGCCCTCCCCTGCGTCCTGAGGCTCCTTGCCCCCCCCGCTGCAGCTTGCCATCCTGGGAGCCAACCTCGCCTGCCACACAGCCTCCAGCCACCTGGCCACGCTCACTGGGGACGTGACGGACCAATTCCGCAGAGGATATTTCCAAGGATTTACGGACCTCAGCCTCGCGGCCTCATGGAATCAGGTACGGCAGAGTGTCCTGGTGGTCCACGCCCTGCGACACTGTCCATAGGAAGAGGTCATACATGTTCTAGAAGGTTCCAGACAAGGGATTTATTCCATACTGAGAAAATGCTCTGAGCTCGAGGATGAGGGAGAGGGGGCAGGGAAGGGCTGAATCCGTGTTGCAGGCAGCGGGGGGGAGGGGGGTGGATAGGGGAGGGGCGTGGTCTGCGGGCAGCGTGCCTCAAAACACGGAGGTGCTCGGCGACTCCCCGGGACCCTGAGTGGGGGAGGGAACAGGTGTGGAGGAGGCCTAAAGGAGGCACAGCCGGACTCAGACACGTCAGGTCTGTCCTCTTTCTTCCGTCTGCTGCCGTCTGCAGGACTGGCGGGTGGTGTGATCCGGTCCTGCCATGGGGACAGGTGCGGCTTAAAGCGGGGACTGACCCCCACCGGGATGGGGTCCACCAGAGGAGCCGACCCAGCCCAGTGCACCCCCTCCCGGCATTCATGTCTCCGTTAAATGTCACCCCATCCTCATGGCACTAACCAGCCTCCACTAGGACCTGCGTTGTGATGACTTGGCTCATTGTCCGTCCTCAAGGCTGGAGGCTCCGGGAGGGAGGGAGGTGGGACGCTCTGCTTCACCCCTGTCGGTGGCCGCTCCCCGGGACGGATGGCGGGCTCCGGGTCTGCCTGTCTCTGCGCCCCGGTGTCCCTCGGCTTCTTTCTTCCAGCGGGATTCTGGCTTGGCCCTGCCTGGCTTTCCCTTGCTGGGCTCAGGGAACCGGGGGCTGCTGGCCGGCACACCCCGTCTCTGGGCACAATTAGCAGGTCACAGAGGGCTGGGCCTGGCCTCAGGAAGGGGCGGTACACATTCTGTCCATGATCTTCTCGCCGATGTGGGCGGGGCAGTCCTGTCCAGGGGTCATTGTGGGGCGACAGTGAGTGTGGTCTGGCGTCCCTGCGTCTGCGTGCCCTCCGGAGCTGGCGGGACATGCCGACCTGCCCTGTCCTTCCATCTCAGAGGGTGACCTGGCTCCAGGGGACCGTTTTGTTCCTCTTGACGCTGAAGCTCGCCTTCCTCGTTGGCGTTCAGAGCTCGACGGCCTGCTGCTCCCTCCTGCTGCGTCGCTCACGGGCTGGCCTCTGCACGGCAGTGGTAAGAGGGCTCCCCGGGGCCAGTTCTCTCCCTGACGAGCCAGCACAGTCCATGTTCTCTCCAGGGAGACACGAACCTAGAGGCCCAGCCGTCCAGCACCCTGGAGTGGTTTTAATCACGGGTGCTGGTGGTTCTAGGGTGAGGTGAGCTCATGAGCACAGGAGCCCAGACGCACTCCACGGTGCTCTGCTGGACCCCCGCCCCGAGCACTTGTTCTTACCACTCGTGCTTGTGGTTATCACCACCCACGGAGCGGGTTCTGCGTGCCAGGAATGGGGCCTGGGCTCTCTAGTAATTCCCGCCCCGAATTATTACAACTAAGCATGGCGGCTGGGGTAGGGGGAGTTCTTCCTCGGAGGGAGGAGCAGGGTGCTAATGCCAGCGAGGGCCCCCACCTCCCTTACCCCTAACGCTAGCCCTGCACCCAGATGCCCCCCATGAGTACCTGACACCCACTTGAGTGCAGTTTACCCCTCACGTGGAATCGGCCTCTGTGGGCCCGGAAGACAGCGCACGTGTAGGGTTCTCAGGAAGCCTGGCTCCCACCCTGGGCCCCGGGTCTCAGTCCAGGGCTGGCCCCATCTGGCAGGCTGTTGATGCCCAGAATCAGGAGGCCCAGAGCCCCGCATGGGATGCTGGCCAGATTCTGGGGTGCGGGTGATTCTGACCCGGCCACCAGGGGGAAGAGCTTGCCCCAGCCCGGCAGCCCGTGGTGGGCCCCCACAGCCGGACTGTCATCAGGGCAGGACGGTCTGGGCCAGGTGGCCTGATGAGGGTTCTGGCTGTCAGGGTCCCAGGCTCAGGCAGCTCACGGGGAACCAGGCACAGGTCCCCCAACCCTGCTGGCCTTATGCTCAGGGGGACAGACTGCGCAAACCAGGACAGAGAGGCTGACCCAGGAGTCACAGACCTGGCTTCAAGCCTAGCCACACCTCCCCCAAACCCACTGTCCCAACTGTGGGACCAGGGCCTGAGCTCCAGCTCCAGAAGCTCCTGGCATGTGTGTGCCTGGTGGGGCACGGCGTGCTGAGAGATTACATGTATGTGGAACTTATGTATTAAACTGGTCATTATTCTACCACGTAGCGATGGGAAGAATGCTTTTTTGTGAAGGAAAAGGCACAGAATGTGATGAATAAATCGTGTCCACACTAGGTAGTGGGATCCGAGCCATTCAGGAACCACGGGCGGCGAGGACAGGTGTTCAGGGAGACTGCACGGGCTCGGTCTAGATGGTGGACCGCTGCAGGGTGCGATCCCACGTAGGGAGTGAATAATAGTGGAGTGAGTGCCCGAGTGTTTGTAGGGAGGCCGTGGGTGCAGGGCTGGGACTAGGAGCGAGGGAAATGGGGGCCAGTGGGGGCCTGGGACGGATGCAGCCCGGGGGCCCCTGTGACGGTCAGTGCATACACTGTGGCCTGTGTGGGCCTGTGACAACGGGCTGCTGGCCTGTGGTGCAGGTGAGTTAGATACACACACACACACACACTCACTGGGCCCAGGGGACAACCCCAGGCTCCCAGGCCAAATTCCCAGCCTGTTATAACAACCAGACCACAAAACTTCACCTGAACTAAACTTAACAGCCTTTACTTCTGAAGTGGCTTATTTTATTGAGCCCTTGCTGGGTGCTGGGGACACGAAGGGCAGGGAGGAAGCAGCAGAGATGCCCCCCCTCCCCCCCCCAATTTGAGATGGGCTAGGGAGTGGGGGGGGTGGCTGGGAGAGGGTCGTTGCTGCTGGGAGAGAGTGGGGGAGGGATAGTGAAAGGAGAAGGGAGGGGGAGAGAGGAAAGGGGAGGGGAGCAGGGCCCCAGAGGGTGTGCACGAGACAGATCCAGGCGACTAGGGATGACATGGTCAACACTGCAAAAACTGCTTCTCCAAGCTTGTTGTTGCGTTAAAGCATTAGAAAGCCCGCACACCAGTCTGGGCTCCGAGGCCCCAGAGCCCAGAGTCATGGGTCTTTCTCCCCACAGCTGGCGGGCGTCCTGATGCTGGCCGCCCGCTGCCACCTGCGCACGGTACCACCCTGCATCTTCGCAGATTTCTCCCGAGACCTGCTGTTCCGTCTTCCAGGAAGAAGCCAGACACACACATCCCGTGGCCCTTCCGAGTCTGACCTGTGGGACCTGGCTGGGTGCTGCGGGGCCCTTTTCATAGCAGTGAGCACCGTGTGGTGGGGAATGGTACGTGCATGCATCCCAGAAGTCGCGGTGTGCCGGGACCCACCTGCTGTGGGGTGAAGTTCTCCGTGGTCCGTGTGCACGTTTCTGCACGGCCTTGGCTCCCTGAGGCCCACCTGTCCTGCACTGGGTGAGGCTGCTCACTGCGGCAACCAGGACAGGTCCAGCAAGACCGGCATCGCGGGGTGCGGGCTGCCTCTTCTAGGGAGCCCCTGGCCCTCCAGGCGCTGAGTGACTCCCTGTCTCTTTCCCAGCCTCCTCTCATGGCGGCCGCTAACTCTTCCCTCGTTATTTCAAACTTCCTGTCTCATAAAGGTTTCCCTCCATCAGTCAGTCTTCACTGGATGGGTGTTCTGGCCTCGGCGGGCTGAGTTGGGAATGGGGCTCTCTGTTTACTACCCTCCTACTGATCTGCCGCCTGCAAATGTAGTCATATCACACACACACACCCCAGCATAAACTCGAGCCTTGACAATACTCAAACCTAAGCTCTTTGGTTTTTTTTTTGCAGTGTTCCTTGCTCCCGGCTCACTGCTTATCCATCCATCTAGTCTCCCATCTTCCCACCCATCCATCCGTCCACCCATCTCTCCATCCCTTGCTCCCGCCCTCTCTCCTTCCCTCTGCCTTTCCTCCATCCACCCACTTAGTCTTCCATCCACCCATCCACCCACCATCCATCCACCTGTCCCACCCACTCGTCCGTCCGTCCATCCATCCATCCACTCGTTTTTCCATTCATGCTCTCATTCAGCAAATGCTTAAAGAATACCTATTCCACTCAGGCAATGGTGGAACAAACATAAGGGGACACGGTCCACAGTCCATAAAGGAAGACACGTGTATAAACAAAGAATTATAGCAAATTTTGTATTTTTGATACTTTTCCTTCATTGGATATGTGGTTTGCAAGTGTTTCTCCCATCCTGTGGCTTTTCCTTGTTGTTCCTCTAACTGTGTTTCTTGCAGAAGTTGTTAACATTTGCAGAGGCCAGTTTCTTGATTTCTTCTTGTGTAGATTCCGCTGGTGTCCTATCAGCGAATGGCAACCCCACACTCCCATGCATTTTCTCCTACGTTTCTTCTAGAAGCTTTATGGTTTTCTGTTTTAGATGTAGGTCAGTGGTCCATTCTGCGTCCACGTTAGTGTAAGATACATGGCTCAGAGCAGAGTGAGTGTTCTCGCCCGGTTGGGATGTCCAGTTCTTCTTGACACCGTCTTTGAAGAGCACGTCGGCGGCACCTGGCTGGTGCTGCTGGCTGAACATCGGTTCTTGGGTTCAGCTTGGGTCGTGATCTTGGGATCCTGAGATCGAGCCCCGTGTCGGGCTCAGAGCTCAGCACAGAGTCTGCTTGCAACTCTCTGCCTCTCTCTGCCCCTCCGGCTCATGATCTCTCTCTCTCTCTCTCTCTGTCTATCAAATAGATAAATAAATCTTTTTTAAAAGCGTGTTGAATTGCCCGTGTATCTTCATCACAAACCAGTCTGTGGCTTCCGCGAGTCTGCTTCTGGCTCGTCTGTTCTGGTTCACCGACCGGTTCCGTCACAGCCCCACTCTGTCGTGATGGCTAGAGCTGCTCAGTGGGTCTTTACGTCGCACAGGCCAGTCTTCCAGATTTGCCCTTTTCCAGTCGGGCCTGCTCTAGTTCTTCTGCATTTCCACCTAAGTTATAGAATCAGCTTGTCGGCATCTGTGAAACAGCATTTTGGGGTTTTGCGCGAGCTTGCTGCAGATGTGTAAATCAGATTTGGGGAAACAGACATCTTCCCAATAAGATCACCCCAAGAATGCTGTCGGTGTCTCTATGTATTTTGGTCTTTCTTGATGTCTCTCTTCAGTGTTCCGTAGTTTTTAACCAAGTATATGCTATTTTATTTTATTTTTATTTATGTGTATGTATTTATTTATCTGAGGCATCTCCTCAAAGGGAGTGGCATCTGTGGGTGGGAGGAGTATCACAGGAGCAAGCGTGGTGGTGAGGCCCGTGCTGGGGCCCAGGGCCAGGCAGGTGTGGCTTTGGAAACGATGCTTGGAGCCAGGCATGGTGGGCCCTGGACGTCTCGCTAAGATGATGAAGTGGCTTGGGCCTTATCGTCAGAAACCGGAAGGCAGTGGTCCCGGGGGCCCTGCACGCAGGGGTCGGGACACATCACTGCTGGCTCCTGGGGCTCGTGTGGCTGGTAGAGCAGGGAAGCCTCAGACCCACGTAGGCGGTCTGAATGGACGGTGTCCTGTCCTCAGACCCAGACATCCCTGCGGGGTTCTGACACACCAGCAGGGCTCAAGGGATTTAGGGCTGATCTGGGAAAGAGATATGACCATGAGAGATGAGAAGACACACAAGCTATATGTGGCCACATCCTGACAGGTGTCACAGCCCAAGCCCATCCAGACGCTGTGTCTTGGGGCCACCGTCAAGAAAGGGAGAAGGGGGGGGGATGCCAGTGTGGCTCAGTGGGTTAAATCCTCTGTCTTCAGCTCAGGTCGTGATCCCAGGGTCCTGGGACTGAGCCCCACATCGGGCTCTCTGCTCAGCGAGGAGCCTGCTTCTCCCTCTCCACCTCCCTCTCTGTCTGCTTGTGATCTGTCAAATAAATAAATAAAATCTTAAAAAAAAAAAAAAGAAGAAGGGGAGAAGGGCAGGGGTGGGAGGGGGTCTTTTAGTGTAGACGTCGCCCAGCAGCAAGCAGAAAGTCTGAGTCAGACCTCCCAAGGGCAACAGCGTGTTGGAGTCCGGGAACTGGGTAACAGCTGCCTGTGCGATTCTGCAGCGTATGCAAAGCAGGCTCTAAACGGCCCAAACTTGGCTTGTTTGGACTATTTTTACAACAGTCAAATGCATACAACTTTGAGTTCAGTGCCCACAGGCTTTGTGAGCCTGAGAACAGGTCTCAGCCTGCAGTAAAGAAGGAAACAGCTGGGGCCGGTCCACAGGGAGCATGTGAGCTCGTCTTCCTGTCTCCTGGGCACAGGCGCCGCTCACGGTGGGGCCCCCAGATCCCGGCGGCGCCGCGGAGCACCCCAAAACCAAGTCTGCTTGTAGAAACGCACACCATGTTGACAATCTTCGTCCTCACCTGTTAGAGACCGAAAACATCCTTGATGTATATGCCCGTTTATACATCCACGTTCATTGTTGGGTTCATCTCGTAAGGGTTCAGTTCGGTGCACAAGAGCTATTTCCTGGTTTTTTGGGGGTTTTTTTGCTAAGCAGTTACTGTCTTACTAAAAGGTCCTTAAACAGTGTCATCAGATAGAATCTCCATTTCACAGTCTATCACATTAACAAAACCATGTTTTGCCTGATAACATGAAATCAGTCTGTCTTTTCTTTCTTCTCCCCAGCTCAGAGGGTCCCTCGCGACTCTTGCTCGAAAAAGGAAATCTTTTCAAAGCCAGTCGCTCGTGAACCTGGCCGACCTGACTGCCTACGTGCGGGGGGCGGTCCTGGCCCAGTTGGGAGCGCGGAAGCCACCACAGGAAGAGGCTGATGTGGCCGTGAGGCGTGTAAGCTGCGGGTGTTGGACCGACGAGCGTGATCTTTCCTTGTAGAACCTCACTTCTGGCCATTAAAGCACGTGGGATTCTGTGCGCCCTCTCATCGCAGAGCCGTGGCATTTCCCGTGGAAATTCTAGTGCTTAGCTGATGACCAAGCACGTTCTCTTCCCTTAACTCGTGATATCCTTGGACGACCGAGTTTATGATTCCACCCCCCACAACACACACACAGCCCCTCTGTCCCTACAGAGTGGCTCTTTGCTTTGGGTCTCGACCACCAGGGCCAAACTTCTCCGCAAACACGGGGATGTAAGTAGAGCGTTTGGGCCTGGTCCCCTGACATGACGGCAAGCAAAGCAGGTATATGCACACTGAATGCCTCACCAGCCTTCGTGACCGGCACTGCGGCATCCTGCACTACTACAGTCCCAAAGCCAGTCGTGGGTGATGGCGATCTTGGGCTTTGAGAAGGCTTCACTCTTTGTCATGAGCCTTTAAATCCGTGCTCATGCTTGTGACCCGGGGTGTTGGGGATGCGTGTGCACACGTGTCCGTGACTGGGGTGTCGGGGACACATGTGCACACTTGTCTGTGACCCGGGGTGTTGGGGACGTGAGTGCACATGTGTCCCTGACCCAGGGCGTCAGGGATGTGTGTGTACATGTGTCCGTGACCTGGGGGGTTTAGGGGACTGAGATCAAGAACTCGGGCCCAGCACCAGGTCTCTGGCTCCAGGGAGCGCCCTTACAAAGTACAACACCATTTAAAGTCAGGACCATGAAATGCTTCAGAAATTGAAGGGAAAATCTTTTCTTGAGGGCATTCACTAATCTGATTTCCTTTGCTCCAGAATCACTACCTGGATGAGGTCTCCGATCTGCTGGACGAGCTCCTGTGGAAGATTCACGGTTTGTCCGACAGCTCCCAGCATCCTCTTCTGTGGCAGGGGTCCGGGGATACGGGAGGGGCCGGGCCAGGAGGCCGTCCCTCAGGGGGCATCTCTGCCTAATGAGCCACTGGGGTAAGCAAATGAGAAATTATTTTTATCGCTCTTCTTTAGAGCAGAAATGTTTTTTTACGTTGTAAGGGAGGCCTGAACTGGGGGCTGTTTCAGATCATGAGGTCCTTTTGCATAAGTATCCCCTCCAGGTGGGTGGCTGGTGGGAAGGGCGCTCTGCTCAGAGCGGAAGGACTGACTGCTTCCTCCGGGCCAGCGTCGCCTGTGACTGCCAGCTTGCGGGGGCGGCCGAGCTGGCTCTCTGCTCCCTCCATCTGATTACAGCTGGGAGCAACGAAGGTAGGGAGAACCAGAAATGGGAATTCCATCCTCCCAGACACCAGGAAATATCTGTGCTCCAGGACGGGACCAAGAATCCCCCAAATGGTGCCCACCGCAGAGAAAATTAGGCCGAAGGGGAGAGAACTCTGGGCTCTGGCAAGGGGCAGAGCTCTGCCCCTTGCCAGAGCCCAGAGTTCTCCCTTCTCAACAGCATGCATGGCGGGGGCTAGCAAAGGCCCCTGGTGTGGAAGAAAAGATAATACAACAGCCCAGAGCGAAAGGAATCCCCTGGAACATGAGTGTTGGGGACACGGGGCTGCGGGAAAGCCGTCTGTTGCAGAGGCTGTTGAAGTGGAACCAGCAAATGGGCTGCTGATGGCCCAGAGGCCTGGAGCCAGGAGAGGCACGTGCTGCGGGCGGGACACGGTGAACAGGCAGGTGAGTGTCAGGCTCCCTGAGATCCAGACAGACACCGTGCTGCCCGGACTGGCCGCCGTCACGCAGCCCAGTGGCACAGGCGTGCTCCCCGGCCCGGTGAGATGGACCCCTGCGAGCAGAAGTGGACACACATGACAAGCACAGATCATGACGGGATGATGCGACCCCAGAAAGCCATCGGTGAAGATGACTGGAAGGGGCGCCTGGGTGGCTCCGAGGGCGCAGCGTCTGTCTTTGGCTCAGGTCATGATCTCCAGGTCCTGGGATCCAGCCCCATGTTGGGCTCCCAGCTCAGTGGGGAGTCTGCTTCTCCCTCTGCCCCTCTCCCTGCTTGTGCTCTCTCTCTCCATATCTCTCTCAAATGAATAAATAAAATCTTAAAAAAAAAAAAAGATGACTGGAGGGGATGGACACGGAGACCAGCCCCGCAGAGCATCGCCACACGCAGGTGAGACGGCAGGCAAGCTGCTCTCCGCACGCAAGACTAAATGCACGGGAAAAAGAGCACGGAGCCGAGACAGCAGCACTGAACGCTGGCATAAAACACAAAGGAGAACGGAGAGAGTCGAGGAAAGAAAAGGGCCAGATGACAAAAACATAAGCTGAGCAAAAGAAAAAGGTAACAGATTCACAGAAAAGAGAGCGAAGGACACGGATGGCAAGTTTGAGAACATTTTGCAAAATGAGATTAAAAAATAAACAATTAAAGTTGATTTTAGGGAAAATCATACACACAAAAGTCAGAGAAGAATATGCGTAAGGCGAAGAAAGGACATGTGTCACCTCCCAGCGCCCTCCTCCACCCCCCGGGGAAGAAAGTCGGAAGACACAAAAAAATATTTAAAGATATAATGTAGGGGCACCCGGGTGGCTCAGCTGATTGCACATCAGACCCTCTGCTTCAGCTCAGGTCATGATTTCAGGGTCGTGAGATTGTGCCCCACGTCGGGCTCCTTGCTGAGTGTGGAGTCTGCTTGGGATTCTCTCTCTCTCTCTCTCTCTCTCTCTCTCTGCTCCTCCTGCCCTGGTCATGCTCTCTCCTCTCTCTCTAAAAAACAAAACAAACAAAAACAATGGCGAACAGAATCCGGCATCAGATTAAAACAATAATATGCCATGATCCTCTTTGAGTTTTAAACCAAAGACGTGTTTTATATCAGGAAACAGATTGGTGACCACCCCCCAAGAGATGGCCGAGACTCTCATTTGATTTTCCGTGACTGCATTTGATGAAATTTGACATCCATTTCTAATTTTTAAAACACACTCTTCATTGAAATAATTCAAAAATCAGACCGTATGGCAAGTCAGTGCTACGTGTCGGTGGTGCCATGGCCAAGACCTTCCCACGGAGTCAAGGACGAGGGGAGACGGTCGGTTCAGAAGTCCGACGGGAGCACTTTCTCGGGGTTTACCGGTCTCGTTCCCGGAGGCGCTGCCCGCGCTTGTGTAACTAACAGCACACAGCCTCACTCACCGCGGGGTCGCTGGGACTCGCCAGGATCCAAGCGCACAGCTCAGCCTACGGTGGGCCCTGGGATGCGCCCCAGCCTGTGCCGTTCAGACCAGTCCTGAGGCTCCAGGACAACCGCACTCCATGCCCATGGAGGCGCGGGGGTGCCCGTGGATCTCAGTTCCTGCACCAGGACCCGCTGGCCCCTCACAGGAGCGGACCGGGAATGTGCCTGGACTTGGAGCAGAACCGGCGGGCCGGACTCCCTGAGACAGACCCTCTTCTGCACGATGTGATCCAAGCAAACAACCCGCTTGAATTTCCTAACTTCAGGGCAGCTGTTTTCCATCTCAGCCATTAATAATTAAGATTGTATCTGCGTGAACCGGGAGGGTTGGACGCCTGGAGCTACGCGAGCCGCCCACTCAGCACACGGTCCTTTGTCTTTTCCAAGTGACTCAGCGCAGCCCCGGGGGCCGGCCGCCTCCGCTCTGGTCCTCTCCCGCTTGGCAGCCGCAGGTGCCTCAGCCTGCTCTCGGCTGGGCCGCGTCCAGCCACCGGGACAGAGCTGCGCCAGAGGCCTTGCCCCGAATCCGGCCTGATGCCCGGGACCCGCTGCTCTGCGGGAGCGGCCGGGCCACTGAGACAGTCGCAGCTTCGAGAAGCAAGAGCGGTTTTTCCTGCCGATTTGCCACGCGATTCCCTTTTATGGGCAGGGCCGAGTCAGACAGGAGCCTCCTGACCGCGGTTACGTCGGCTGAGCGGTTTGGTCCTTCTCTACAAGGAAGTGCTGTTCCTTCGCACCCACCTGCCGGCGGAAGCTGGGCGTTTGGCACAGCCGTGGAGGAGCCGAGGCTCACTTTGCACCTCTGTGGGCGTGGGTGTGCGGGGGTTGGGGCTGCTGCCCCTGCACCATGGCCTCTGCCTTCAGAGAGGTCCTCGTGTGCGCCCTGTGAGGCAGGGACCGTCGGGACACAGGGGGCCATCAGACGGTGGATTTTCGTCCCACTGCTTCCCTTAACTTTGCCAGTTTGTGGGCGACTTTAAAAGATGTTTAGAAGGCTTGACTTTCCTTAACGTGCACAGCCTACGAAGGTCTCAGGAACCTGTCCAGGAAATTTGCTGAGCTCCCCCCTCGTATCCAGGACTTTTTGTGGCCCTAGTCGGGTTCCACAAACCCAGCTTTCTGGACTCATGAACACACGAAACCGGAATCCTTGAAAAGAAAACAGGTTATAAAGGGTTTAAGGAATTACCCGCTCGGCCTGTGCACACAGAAGTAAGGGCGCCCCAAAGAGGCAAGCGGGGCGTGCTCGAGCAGCCGCTGAGCAGGGGGTGGGCCCCGGGCAGTGACTAGCGTCCTGACCCTCAGTGTCCGCCCTGTGAAGCAGCCCAGCGCCAGGCTTCCTATGTCATCGTTCAACCTGGGTTCGTGTTCACTCACCAAGTACGGCGGCGGCACAGTTTCAGCAGCTGGAAGCCGGGGCCTGGTGATGTCTGTGTCCCCCAAGAAGACACAGTGTTCCTGGAACTTGGAAAATACGAGTCTCCGAATTGGGGACAAAGTTCTTAGCGACTCCGGTGCCCACTTGGATCAGCAGCAGGACGTGCCTCTTCATGAGAGACTGCAAGTGGCCGTTCATGGTGCAGACCCTGGGGTACAGTGAGGTCTCGGGGTACGTGGCTGGCTCAGTCAGGGGAGCACATGGCTCTTGGTCTCGGGGTCGTGAGTTCAAGCCCCACACTAGGTGTAGAGATGATTCAAAGATAAAATCTTTTAAAAAGACAATAAAAAATAAATTGAGGGGCACCCAGGTGACTCCAGTCAGTGAAGCATCTGCCTTTGCCTCGGGTCATGTTCCCAGGGTCCCGGGACCGAGCCCCGTGATGGGTTCCCTGCTCAGCGGGAAGTCTGCTTCTCTATCTGCCTCTGCCCCTCCTCCTTCTTGTGCTCTCTCTCTCCGATAAATAATAAAATCTTTAATAAGTAATTATTCTCCTTTAGGATTTTGATGGAGAACATAGGCAGTAACTTCTTCGACATCGACCACAACAACTTCTTTCAAGACACATCTTCAAAGGCAAAGGAAACAAAAGTGAAAATGAACTTGACTTCATCAAGATCAAAAGTTTCTGCACATCAAAGGAAACAGTCAACAAAACTAAGAGGCAACCCACAGGATGTGAGAAGACATTTGCAGATGACAGTACAGACAAAAGGCTGATATCCAGGATCTATAAAGAACTCCTCAAACTCAACACTCAAAAAACAGATAATCACATCAAAAAATGGGCAGAAGATATGAACAGACACTTCTCCAAAGAAGACATACAAGTGGCTATCAGACACATGAAAAAATGTTCATCATCACTAGCCATCAGGGAGATTCAAATCAAAACCACATTGAGATACCACCTTACACCAGTTAGAATGGCCAGAATTAATAAGACAGTAAACAACGTGTGTTGGAGAGGATGGGGAGAAAGGGGAACCCTCTTACACTGTTGGTGGGAATGCAAGTTGGTGCAGCCACTTTGGAAATCAGTGTGGAGATTCCTTAAGAAATTAAAAATACAGTTACCCTATGACCCTACAATTGCACTACTGGGTATTTACCCCAAAGATACAGATGTAGTGAAAAGAAGGGCCATCTGTACCCCAATGTTCATAGCAGCAATGGCCACGGTCGCCAAATTGTAGAAAGAGCCAAGATGCCCTTCAATGGACAAACGGATAAGGAAGATGTGGTCCATATACACTATGGAGTATGATGCCTCCATCAGAAAGGATGAATACCCAACTTTTGTAGCAACATGGACGGGACTGGAGGAGATTATGCTGAGTGAAACAAGTCAACAGAGAGAGTCAATTATCATGTGGTTTCACTTATTTGTGCAGCATAAGAAATAACATGGAGGACATGGGGAGATGGAGAGGAGAAGTGAACTGGGGGAAATCGGAGGGGGAGACGAACCATGAGAGACTGTGGACTCTGAGAAACAAACGGAGGGTTTTGGAGGGCAGGGGGTGGGGGGCTCAGTGAGCCTGGTGGTGGGGATTAAGGAGGGCACGGATCGCACAGAGCACTGGGTGTGATACACTAACAATGAACCATGGAACACGACATCAAACACTAATGATGTACTGTCCGGTGACTAACATAATAAAAAAATAATAAACAAGCAAACAATGAGGTTTCCTGGGAAAAATGTGCTTCCCTATACGTCCAGAGGTTCACTGGACGCGTGAGCCGGAGATCGGTCCTCAATGTGACTGAGCTGACTGAGCATCCCGCGGGTCTGTGTCCCCCTCTTCTCTCAGTGCTTTCTACAGAGCCCGGGGCTCAGTAAACACACAGTAATCGGCGATTGGTCAGATGATGCTACTGGAGTATGTATATGGGTAGAAAGAGGAAAGATAAATGGGGCAGAACGTTAATATGCGATTCCAAGGAGAAGTATAGGAGCACACAACTGAACTATTCTTGCAACTTTTCTTGTACGCTTGAGACAATTTCCAAACGGCGAGCTTCTGAGGCGCCCAGCTACCTCAGTCAGTGGACAGTACGACTCCCAGTCTCGGGACTGTGGGTTCGAGTCCAATGCTGGCCCTAGAGATGGCTCTAAGGAAGAAGAAGGAGAAGGAGAAGAAAGAAGAAGAAGGGAGGAGGAGGAGGAGGAAGAAATGGAAAGGGTCTGTTGAGTCGTTCTACAGGAAGAACACAACATGCCAGAGTCACAGCTGTGGGTGTGATTAGCTCTGATGCTCTTTGTCATTTTCTAAATTTTCTGCACGCCTAAGTATACCTGGGAATTTTTCCCTTCCATGGACATCACAAGAAAAGCTAGTTGAATTTCGGAGCACTATTCAGATGTGATTTACAAATGTGTAATATATCAGAAGTGCAAAGAACCAGACAGAAATGGTCCAGCAGACGGTCCTCAGAGATAAATTTCCTCTGCTTTCGGGATTCTACGTATGTGTGCCTGAGCTAACCTCACGAGACGGAGCGCTGTTGTCGGAGCCGGATCATTCCTTCCTGGCAGACCCGCTCCGGCAAAGCTGGGATACTACTGTTAATCCCTTTTTTTTTTTTAAGATTTTATTTATTTATTTGACACACAGATCACAAGTACGCAGAAAGGCAGGCAGAGAGAGTGGAGGAAGCAGGCTCCCTGTCGAGCAGAGAGCCCGATGCGGGGCTCGATCCCAGGGTCCTGGGATCATGACCTGAGCTGAAGGCAGAGGCTTTAACCCTCTGAGCCACCCAGGCGCCCCTGTTAATCCCTTTTTCATTTTGATGTGTGCTGGTATAGCACTTGAGACAGGATGGATAGAAACCAGGGTATCTGTGTGACCGTGGAAACATAATTTATTTGCTTGAACCAAGTTATCTTACAGCAGGAGTCAAGAAAGCTGAATTCCTGAAGACGAAACGGCACTATAGGCTGGCCTCCTTCCGCAGAAGTTTCTGTTCTAGCTGAGAGTCTCTCAAACTATAATTATGTCCCCAAATAACAAACAAAATACTGCATTTGTTTGCCGGGGCGGCTGCAATGAGGCCCCGGAAAGACGAATGTGTCGTGTCAGGGTGCAGGAGTGCCAGGATCCCAGATGGGGTGCCAATGAGCTCCACACCCTCTGAAGCCATGGGGGGATGGGTCTGCATTAGGCCTCCCCCTCCCCCCACCCAGCTCCTTCCCTAGGGGACCCCCCAGGTCCTGTTTTCCTGGAATGTTCCCGTGCACATGTCTGTGTGTTTTATAAGGATGTGGTCACCTGGGGTCAGGGCCCCCCCATGGGACCTCATCTTGATGTGATCATCTACAGAGTGAGGTCACGTCCGCAGGCACTGGGGCAGCACCTCAGTGTCTTTGGGTGGGGGACCCATCACAAATACCTTCAAGCAACTGTCGCTATTTGAAGACAAAGGCTCTGTCATTTCAATTAATTTCAACATTTTTAGGAATTTCATTCCACTGAGGTGATAAAGGTAAAACAAAAATTTCACAAACTTTCTATTTTTTACTCCGCATAGATCCCCCTGTGGGGAGGCTTTCCTAGGACTGATGTTTGCGTGTTAAGCCATCTTGGTTATCATAAAAGCTATGGAATGAATGAATCATCTGAGTTCTTGGACTCTGAAAAAGATCGGGGGATAACCAAAAATGAATTCTTTTTTGCCACTTGAAGTGGCAGTTTAAACCAGGAGCGCGATGGGGCATCTGGGGGCCTCAGTCGGTTGAGCGTCCGACTCTTAAGTTCAACTCAAGTCATGATCTCAGAGTCATGAGATTGAGCCCCGTGTCAGGCTCCATGCTCAACAGGGAGTCTGCTTCTCTCTCCACCTCCCCCTGCCCGCCGCTGCCCCAGCACTCTCTCTCAAATAAATAAGTAGATCTTAAAAAAACATAGGTGCACAACTGAGCCTCCCCCTGAAACCATGGGTATCTGTGTACCACACCTTTAGTAAAGGATGACCCCGTTCCCCGGTGGCTTGGAAGGAAGTGTCTAGCCCTGGTAGATGCTAGCACAGTGGTTCAGAGGGAGCACCTGCCACTTGGGGATGTGTTCATGACATCGAGGGGTGAGGCATGTAATTTGCAGTGGGACCAAGGGGAGAGGAAGAACAGAAACCAGAGCTTCCCCGCCGGACCCACTCCCCCTTTCTGGCATCCCCAAATCTTTCATCTTTAGAAGAGGAAGGGTCCTAATTACAGCAGGCACCCTGGGCATGTCAGACCCAAGAATTTCCCCACTCACTGCCCCAGGGTGACAATGTATGGGACTGGATCTGCAGAATTAGAGTGCTTGAGGAAGGGAGCCGTGGAAGTCTCTGGAACTGGGGACCCCTGTTCCAGGCCTGGCCACCTTCTCTCCAATGTCTGACACTGCCATGGATTGTCTGGAACCGGCTGAAGAGCATTACAATACTAGCCTTTGACCTCAGAAAGGTAGAGCCCTTAGGAAGACTTTCTGTGCAGTGAGCAGAGCTCGGCTGTTTCCCAGAGACCCGTGCTGGCCAAGGGCACCTTCATAACTTAACTGCATTTTGTTTCCATCATCTTCCTCGCCCTGTTATCAGGCAAGGAGCTAGGACACTGGATCATCAAGTTTCAGGAATGTGAGCTGACCTTTCAATGACCTTAGCATGCCGGGTGCCCTCCAGATGATGAGCAGGTTTGTTCCCAAAGCTGTGGGTGACGACGTTTATAATCCTCAGAGATGGATGATTTCTTGGAAGCTGAGTCAGAGGAGAGGGGTGACCGTGCCAGGTCAGGACAGTGAGGTGGGGCAGAGCGTCAGACACAGAGGTCACGGGGACAGAGCAGAGAACCTAGAAATAGAGCCACACAAACAGGCCCGACCAGTTTTTGACAAAAGGGCAGAACAATTCAGGGAAGGAAGAGCAGCCTTTTCAACAATGGTGCTGGTATGACTGGACAGCCAGAAGCAAGAAAAAAGAAAAACAGTGCTCCAACTTGCTCCTCACACCCTAGACAAAAATTAACTCAAAGCAGATCAGGGACTCCAGTGAAAAATGTAGAACCACAACATTTTTGAAAAAAGAGGAACTAAAGAAGCAAATCATCACAATCCATAAGATCAAAATTAAAAGCTTTGATCTGCGAACCACCCTGGGAAAAGGGCAATCAGGCAAC